GGCCTAATGCTCGCCTCTCTTCTTGCGACTTGGCCCGCGCCAATCCATTTGCATTGCGGTTCCCAGCCGCTTGGCTACAACCGAGCTATTCCAATTTTACACCACGCCCCATTTCACACAATTCTTCTCCTCGACTCCATACCGAGCCGCACCAACCTAGCCCCATGTCATCCAAGCGCGTCGTGGCACACAAAAAAAAATAAAAAAATAAAAAACTTTTCTTTTTCTTACCTTGGGTGCGGCGACAATGATGCAAAAGGTGATAGTCAACTCTTCAAAGGGCAAACAAAGAAGAAAACTAGAGGTGGGGAACAAATTCCTCTTGTTACCTCTCATTTTTGTTTGAAAAAAAAAATTGTTCTCTAGGTTTATTTAAGGGTAATACTAGGGAAACTAAATTTTTTAAACCCATTTTTGCAAACCAAATGATGTAATTGTAGATGGATTATTAATTATCAGTTAACGTGTTTGTTCTTATTGGTGACACATAATTTGGTCTTCCTAGCATTATCTTTTTTTTTTTTTTTTTTTTTTTTTGTTTTTGTTTGTCAAACAATAGATTTTGTTATATTAGATGTTAGATTAGCCACCGACGGAGTCCGAATCCACGCCATCATGCAAGGGCTCAACACCTTTCGTTAAATAAATTCAAGAATAAGTTGGATTCCCTTTCCCATAAGACCTTCATTTCAAATCAAACCTCAGAATGTAATGCAAATTAAGAAACTACTTTGGGCTAGCCTACTCAACTTGGGATTTCTACACCTCATGCACATTTCTACGCATAGCACAACAGGTGTTGAGGCATTTGTGGAGTAAAAAATAATCTCAAAAATCTTGTAGCAGAGATGTGGACTTTTTATATGCAACTGACAAGAATGCCATTATTAAATTGATGAGACCCACGTTTATTTCACCCTGAAGACCTGAGCTAATGACTACAATCTCTCCAAGCTTCAATGCCCATGGCAAGGAAATAAGACAAGGGAAATGAAGATAGGACTAATAACTAATCCTTATCTTTAAGCTTTTCTTATTAAAGATCAATTAAATCAAACAAAGAATCACAAGTAAGGATAGATAATCTCAAGATATTATTTAATTAATAATATATTTGAAACAATTCTTTTCTCCATCCTACGGATATCACACCTTGGTCAATTAATGAAGACACATGATGTAGAAAATCATTAGCCAAACTCCTATAAATACCCCATTCTACACTAATTTTAATAAAATTTTGTTATACAGTTAAACCTTAAATTCTATCTCTTTAGAGAAACTGACTAGATTTTTGCTACCATTGAAGGGACATCATGTCAGGGAAAATATTGAATCATAAGGGAAGATGTAACTAGTCCCACCCAAATAGATAAGAAGCGTAAGGGTTTTGGCTTTTGGTTAAATAAATGAGAATGCGAGATCCCAGAACTGAGTTGGAGTGAAAGGGCTGCAGGTCGGCCAGTAGCCGAACGTGTTGCTTCAGTAAGTTATGTCTTGTTGAACGCTTTATGCTTTACCCGTCAAGTAATCAATCAGAGATAAAGCAAATGGATGAGCTTTCACACCTGATTAGACTGCATTAATTAACATCTTAACTTAATAGATATTGCTTTGACCAGGAAAGACATGCATGTTGCTTCTATTTTCCATACAGAAATCTAATTAGGAACTGGCTTATCTGCCCTTTCAGTTCTTATACACTTATATTTCTTTCTATTTGTATGGTTATGATTAAGTTACGTTAATATTTTATATTACTATTGCTTTTTATCTTATTATCTCTACAAAAAAATTAATATAAAATGTTAATTTAATTTAATCGTGATCGTATAAAATAAAAGAGAATAAAAGTGATAGGAACTGTAAGGGTAGGGAAGCCGGATCCATCTAATTCAGCCAATAGAGTTTGAACTTTGAAGCATGCATGGCAACTTGCATGAATATTAATAATTGAGCTGCCTGGGGTAGACGGCCTTTTGTGGAATCCAGCATTCGCCGCCATATTATTATCACAGTTCATAAATTGGTCTGGCTCTTTAAATATTTTAATACTGAAACTAATACAACAGGTTCATCAATTTTGCTTTTTAGTGTAGCTTGGAATTGAAAATTTTATATTTCAGATGCATAAATGTAACGTATAGATTCTAACATATGAGTTTTTTATGCCCGTGCAGAGGTGTCAAATCCCACGTGGACGTTGGTTGTGTTTGAACGAACCCACTTAATAAAAAAATTAAGCCTAACTTATTTTTAGGCCTAATCACTTTTTACGAACCGTGTCATGCTTTGCCTTATTTAAATACGTCAGTGCCCATACCATGCTCGTGGTCCCCGACTTGTTTAACACCTCTGTGCTCGTGTGAAATGCATCCCATATCCATTTGCAGTTAACAAGTGTGAAAAATAATTTTTTAGTCAAAATGATTCATGAAATTATCATAACTCTTTATTTTGATCTTTGAAATTTAAAATTGACAAAAGTTGTCTTTGAGATTATTCACCGTCAATCACTTTGATCATTATGTGTGAAGAGCCTATGTTTCAAATCTCCAAGTTTACCATGAATGTGGTATTTTTTTTTTTTTTTTGGGCAAAAAGGAATGGAATTGTGTTCTTTGTCGACAAAAAATGCAGTAGCAAAATTGTGAAGTTTACAACAATCAACGCAATTAGTCGTTGAACAAAAAATATGTAAATATTAATTCCTAAAACTTGTCACAATGCAAAGCACTGATCCTTTTTGGTAACACTGTCAGGCCTTTCGTCTAACATATAGGGTTTTAGGATGCAAATAAGGGAGGTATCGGTCTCTCTCCGGATGAGGAAGTTGGCGACCTTGCAGGCCTCTAGATCAGAGTCATCCTACCGACCTCAGTCTTTTCTTCTGGAATAGGATCCTCTTCTAAGCAAATGTTTGGGATCCTCATGACCAACCAACACGGGCTGTTGGATTTTGATCCAACGGTTACAAACAGGAATCCTTTTAAAAGTTATAATAATTGTAGCAGTTGGATCAAAATCCAACGACTCGTGTTGGTTGGTCATGAGGATCCCGAGCATTTGCTCAGGAGAGGATCCTATTCCTTTTCTTCTCGTATAGAATTAGGCATATATAGCTAGGGCTCCTTCTTGTTGTCGGCGTCGCTTCCGACCCCCAAATATCTCAAGAGCGACCCCAGAATTGGCAATAAAATTAGAAGGTTTCTATGGGGCTTAGCTCATTTTAAATGGACGGTCAAAAGTGTTGATATGCTGTTGATGCCGATAAATTAGCTTCAAGTTTCAGAGTTTAATAACACGAGAACACAAACTGTGGTCTACTTTTAGCACGCGATTGCCAAGAACGATAAAAAGATATGTCGTCGGATACATATGCACACCAGACTTCACTTTTTGCCAGTCAACAATTGCATAGGTAAGTTATATCATTGGCCTTTGGCAGATATGCATGCATATTATATATGATATATTATATATAGAATAATGTTAGAGCAGTATATGTTTATACATTAGTCTCATTCTATTGGAGCATCTTTAAGTAACTTTAGTTGAGAGACACCTTGTGATCTCATTCTTTAACTTTTTTTAATAAGATTTTTTAATCAAAATGATCATTGAGATTTGCATAACTCATCATTTTGGTCCATGAGATTTGAAATCAATAGAAGTGGTCATTGAGTTTGTTCATCATCAATCATTTTGATCATTCCTTGAAAAATAAAGGACCAAATGACAAAAATACCCTCAATTTAATAAACAATTGGCCAAAATAATTTGACAAAAATTGAGGGTATTTTTGTCATTATATCTTTATTTAATAAAGATTTTTCAAGAAAATACCAAAATGATTGATGGTGGACAAACTCAGGGACCACTTCTATTGATTTCAAATCTTAGGGACTAAAGTGAGGAGTTATGCAAATCTTTAGGAACCATTTTGGTTAAAAAAACCTTTTAATAATTATAACCGTTTATATTTTAGTGTGTTAGTCAAAGATCATCCTTACAAAAAATTACCCGCAATCCAAAATCACTAAGACCTATCATTGTAGTGAAGAAAATGGACCAATAGGATCTTTGAGATAAACACTAATATGACTACCATTTAATTCAACATTCAAATGATATCGGATTTGGGTGATTTTTTGTAGAAGTAATTTTTGAATAAAGATCTAAAAGATAGATGCTTAGGTCATTGAAATACGATGTAGATTGAGAGATCGCTTACTGAAAGGAGAGTGTTATACATCATGATGATTGAATATATAGCCTTAGCAAAGCTTGTTCATGCCTTAGGAAAATGTCTTCAAAAACCTTCAATATTCTTCAAATAAGCATGATTCAAAAATAAATAAATATTAAAAAAATAATGGTTATGAACTAATGAGTCGCCATACCTTCAGCCATATCCAGCATGTCGAATAACTAAAGCCTATTTAGCACTTATGAACTTTATTTTCTTTACATAAGTCATAAAACTCCTTAAGTACCTATAATTCTCGTAAGTGTTTCTGTTAAGCGTGCTTTTATTGTAATTGTACACGTAAGATTTTAATGAGAATTCAAATGGTTAATGAAAATTCACTTTTAAAACACTTTTATGGGCCATTATAAGACCTTTTAAATATTTTCTGCAAAATACAGTCAAAAGTGCATTCGTTAAACAGAAAGGGCTAAAAGCACTTTCCAATAATCAAATTTTTTTTTTTTTAAGTTATAACGAAAAGTCTGCGGTACTATTCACTTTAACGAAAAATCATATTTTTACACGAAAAAGTCAATCATGATACTATTCCCTTTATCCTTTATTTTGTCTTTATCGTTAAAACTCAAAATTTTCAAGCACTTTTCATTAGTTTTTATTTTTATTTTTTACAGTGCTTGGCAAAAGTAGCTCGAAACATTTTTCTGTTTACAAAGTTATTAACCTAATCTGAAGGTAATAAACTAATCTGTCACAAGCTAGTGATCGACTTAAAATTCAATCAGTCAATTACTACTAACTTGGTAACTTGATCAACCAATACTTGCACCTATCAAATGTTAACAGCTGGTATATGCATCGAGTATCAGGGACATCGATCTAATCGTATAATTTATGAACCTCGGATTCTAAAAATTTATGGGATCACAGAATTTGTCTTGGTAATAAGATTAGATTTCAAACCCTAAAACCTAGGCTGAGCTCGCATGCATCGTTAAATTGGAGGAATTTTTCAATGTGCTGGGAAAACGACCTAATACACCAAATGTTATAATACAAATTGTTGGATACTTAAAAAAAAAATAAAAAAATAAAAAAAATCTACAACAACTTGTATTATAACACTTGTTGTATACGTCCGTTTTTTCAACACGCTGAAAAATTTCTCTCTAAATTGGTCCATGTTCCTTTGTAACTACGATATTATTTAGCTCGGTTATCACGTACAAGATAGCGTGTAAGAAGGTTATTGAAGCCAGCCCTTGCCCTTGGTGCATGTGAACAGCCTATTTTCCCCCGCACTTCCGTCACACGGTGCCGTAAGACTGGGATCTAAGTCACCAACATCTTATAGCTATACCACCCCAAGGCCTTTAAATAATAAATAATTAGAATAATGTACACAAAATTACATATCCAACTTGGCATTGTCGGTCACTCCATGTGTACGAACCACAGAACCCTGAAAAGTTCATGTATATAAACCCCCTTAGGGTTTCTGAAACAGTACAAGTCTCAGTGCATGCAGAAGAGCTAGTACTCGATCGGAACTATTTTCTGAAACGAGGGTTTTTTGGTAGGAGAGAAACAGCAGATTAAAGACGATGAGAAGCCAGATGAGATTTGTGCTTCTCGTGCTCCCATTTTTTGGTTTAGTTGCAGTGAGCTTCTGTCTAGGGTTTGTAAGTGCAGATGGTTCGACAGTGCCAAGGCCGAAGTTGACTTGGCATTACTACAAAACTCACAACACTTGTGATGATGCAGAGGTTTATATCCGGCACCAAGTGGAGTTGTTTTGGAAAAAGGATAAAAGCATCACTCCCAAGCTCCTCCGGTTGGTCTACTCAGATTGCTTTGTAACGGTACGTATTTCGTTTCTACTGTCTACCACCTCCTATTCGTTCTATCACAGATTGGATCAATTTAGTTTGACGTAATGCTAGAGATACCATTTAAAAAATATGATTTAGGTAGATCCTCTCCCTAGCATTTTCATTGAAGTAGCACAAAGAAAACAATATTAATATATCATTCCCTAGTCAACAATCACTCAACTTCCCCACGAACTACTTGTATAAAATATTCTAGGCCCTCCTGACTTGAAGGCAAGGTAATTATTAAAAAATAACACGACAAATTTCTAACATTGTTTAAATCCCTTAGTAAATTGTGATTTGAGTGTGTGTTGGCTTTTTTATTATGTTTTTTTTTCTAGTAAATATCTTACTTTTATTTTTATTATTTAAGTTAATGAAGAGAAATAAAGAGAGGAAATAAAGAGAGTTTAAACTTGAAATGTAGTAAGAGAGAATTTGTTAGTGAGTATCTGATTGACTACTTTTTTTTTTTGTTAGAATATCCACCTCATTATGGTAGCGAATAAAACATAGGGTAATACTATCAAAATCAAAATTTTAAATCAAATTTTGTAAATTTAATGATGTGGATGTTTAAATGTTGATTAACGTGCTTATTTTTTACTGGTTTGTTAGTTTAAAATTTTGATCTCTCTAGCATTATCCTAAATTATATAACACGCCGAAGGATAAATTCTCCATTTCCTTTTTTTTTTTTTTATTGTGTGTGAATATAGCCATGAATATTTCTTTCGAAAATTTCAATTGAGGTAAAAAATATATATTTTGGACATTAAATTAAGCGAACCTACATTTTATGACTCAAAAGAGAGCTCAGTAAAAAGAAATTTTAGCACGTAGTGTACAACTTTTTTTTTTCAGTAAAAAGTATTTCTATTTAAGCTATATGATGAAATAACAAATCATTTAAATTTCTCTGGTTTTTTTTGTTTTGTTTTGTTTTGTTTATATTTTTATACATATGGAAATGCAGGGTTGTGATGCATCAATCCTCCTTGATGGTGAAGACTCAGAAAAAACTGCACCACAAAATTACGGGCTTGGAGCTTTTGTTGTCATTGACAAGATCAAAACCGTCCTCGAGCAGCGGTGCCCCGGTGTCGTCTCTTGCGCCGACATTCTCAACCTCGCCACTAGGGATGCCGTTCATTTGGTACCATATTCTCAAACTATAAATGAATTGAGATCCGCTTAGGATATCGATGAGACATATTCCAAAATTCGAATCACTTATTTTAATCTTACGGTTCTAATTAACTAGCTCACATCACACAAATTAAGGGTCCATATCTCTCTCTCCATCTCATGAATAATCCAGATTTCTCTATATGCCGGCTCCAGACTACTAGATTCGAAGAGGATCTGAATTCTACTATATACAATCTTTTGGTCCGGCTTTAATATATGTAGTACTCAGTGTTACGAGTATTTTAACCGTTAGATTTGATTTCTAATTGTTAATCGTTTTTCATGATCCTCAGTGCTACGTACCATTAAAAAAAAATTGATGATTCTCATGAAAAACTACTATTTGCACCCAAAATTTATATTGTTATTATTTAAAAATAGTAATAATTATCCATGTATTTATTTATATATCAACAGGACGGCGCACCATCTTATCCTGTTCTGACAGGAAGAAGAGACGGTCTGACATCAACCAGGTCATCAGTGGACCTTCCCTCACCCTCCATCACATGGGAGGATGCCCTAAAATACTTCAATTCTAGAGGCTTGAACGTACTGGATATGGCAACCCTCCTAGGTAACACCATCATCCAAAATCGAACCTAAATCGCCGTTTCATTAAAAACCATTTCGTTTTCAGTTTTCAATTTGACTAATAACCAAAAACAAACGGCCCCTAAAACGGAAAATTAGATTATCGCAAGTGTAACTTTGATGTGGGATCATCGGTTTCTCAAACTAAAATGCATTTCAATTGGTTTCAGGTGCACATTCAATGGGGAGAACACATTGTCACTACATTCTTGATCGGCTGTACAATTTCAATGGCACCAAAAAGCCAGACCCAAGCATGGACCCTTCACTCTTAAACGATCTGAGAAAGAGCTGCCCGCCGAGAACGAAAAAGGGACAGACCGACCCTCTGGTGTACCTAAACCCGCAATTCGGTGCCAACTACAGATTCACACAAACCTACTACTCCAGAGTTCTATCGCACAAAGCTGTACTTGGAATCGATCAACAGTTACTGTATAGCAACGACACTAAGGAAATCACTCAAGAGTTTGCTGCCGGTTTTGAAGACTTTCGAAAGGCATTCGCTATGTCTATGTACCGGATGGGAGAGTACCAGGTTTTGACAGGAAACCAGGGCGAGATACGCAAAAATTGCCGAGTTCCAAACAAGAAGTAGATGGCGAGTAGCTGTGTGAACCGTTGAGAGATTCGGGAAGGGAAATGCTGTCATCTCGGTGGTGGTGTTTTGTGTTGGTTAAGGAGGAATAATTTGGGTAATGACCTAAAGAAAAGTACATTTCCAATTCATAAATAAAATTATCTAACAAAGTTTCTTAGATTGTCACTCAGTAGCTCTCAGCATATGATATTTTGTATAACCATCAAACAAAACTCTCCTTCCAAGTTTTCACATCCTCAACTCCGCAACATATAACGAAAACTAAACAGACTTTTGGAAGTGTAAGCGTCATGAAGTAACGAAGATTACAAGATTAATAAAAAAAATCCAAGTTTTCCAAACCTGTAACAGGTATCCATCAAAGCTTAAGCAATCAGAACTCCAAGCACGAAAACAGAGAAACTTCTTCCGACTTTGCAATGTCGCTGCTGGCTTCAAGATAAGTAAGAGAACAAAATAAGCTCTGGCAAATACTAACTGGAAGCATAGAGAGGAAATAAAGGAATATGCTCCTGAAAATCATTTCAGGAGTAACACCATAAATTTGTTAATATCGACCCACTCGAAAGTTAAAAAGGAAAAAAATAGACAATGAAGGAGAAAGGTAAACAGTTATGGAGTCCAGAGCCGACAGATTATAGGAACAAGTTTGTTACTAGAAATCTAGCAAATATTTTGAATACAATATCTGCTGGGGAACCAAATATCTCCCTTTTCTCATTGCCTTTCCATAGAGATATCAAAATATATGGTCAGACACGAAACTGGTGTAATTAAGGGTGACAATTCGTGTTAACAGATTGTTTTCGTGGCGTGCAATTTACAGTTCAATTGGAAAAATAGTCAACCTTAACCAGACCCATATGATCAACCCGTTTATAATAGCACGGTATCATGTTCAAGTTCTCCACCGTATGTTGTGAAACTAAAAACTTCAAACTAAGTTTCCTTTATTTCCAAACTAAACCTGTCCTTTATTGCTAACCAAACCTGTCCCATATTTCTAAACTAAAACTTCAACCCATTTATAAAAATTCACAACCGGTATGATTGTGCCACTCACTGTCCCTTATGTTTTATCCTAATTATATCTTCACCTAATTAAACTTTTTCCTCATGTGGCCAGAAAAATGACCACAATGCAAAAGCAAAGCATCAAACATACAAGAAGATCCCATCTGATCGGAAAGAAAGATCAAAAGATAAGATACTTGTATCTGCATGTGACCAACCAGTTCAAGAATAAGAAGAGTGGTAGAATTGGCAGGAGAGAAGGGACGTAGACCAAACTACGTAAGCTCAAATAAGATGCCCAACAAAAATCCAATTACAACAGGTCCTTTTAATAGGCAGTCCAATATTACCTTCCTATAGTATATAAGCAAATAATTACTATTAAATTAAAAGGTCCTAAAAATAAATCTAGATTCCACTCTGCTAAAACATAAATACGGATTCACTTTGACATTAACCCCATCGACAAATAATATAAAATAACACATCATGATTTTCAGACAAAAAATAATTATCATTTGATTGAATGTTATGTAATGTACCAAAACTAGGAACAGGAAAAGAGAAAGCACTCGTCTAGGAACATTTCCAAATCAGATCAAACTGAAACGATTTCGGGGTTTCCATACAAATGAAAGTAAAGAGAAGTACACGATAATTACCTTGCAAAAAAATGTGAAGGAGACAACATAAATGCAAATAACTGGACCAATCTGCAAACCGCAATGGCACTTCAGCTTGAACTTATGACTATAATTAGATCAGAGTGCCAACACTGTGCTTCAAGCATGATACTATCTGGGAATGAAGAAAGCCTAGTCACCATTCCGAGCTGCAGGGCTGTTTCTCCTGATAAGCTGGTTCAAACAGAAGTTTCAGGAAAAGCATCCACAAAGCAATATCCACAGTTTCAGGCAACAAAATGGTAGTTCCATACGCAGAAATGGAAAGTCTCTGTACATTTCTATTATCACCCGCCTGTGTTTTTGTCTCATTCTTTGTTTATTACTTATTTTCTTTACTTTTTCATCCACAATCACTCCAGTGCATTAAAAATGGTGCCTTCCGTTATATTATATTAATTTTCTAACTTTTCCAAATTATACGAGCAGACTTGCAGTGCATCATAATTATGCACATACAATCATTTGTAGACCTAATCACAACACCTTGTTGGATGCTTGAAAGTTGCACCTGTGGACATTATCTAAAGTGGACGTCCACAAAAGAGACTACCTCTATATGCACATATGTAAAATGTATATGTATAGTCCCCTCCTTGAAAAAATCCCTTTTTCCTAAAAAGCAAAAGGGATCCGATTGTTGGGGTCACCCCACAATGTTGTCCAAGGATCCTAACCGCCTATGTTTTATGTCCACAATTTAAGAAAAGTCTCTGCAAAAATTTAGGTAAACCGAAAATCGCTTAACAATTTAAATAACTAAATGGATTTCCATTTGGATATTATTTCATAATGATTTGTGAATAGGGAAATAGCACAATGAGGGTTGGCCCCCTCATGCAAGCCCTTTTGCTTCTAATCGAAAGAGATCCCTGTTTATGAGTTCCCCCCACATATTTAGACACACACATTGGATTTTAGATTGCAAATAGAGAAACTTCACGAATAACAGAAAGGGGACACGATAGCAATGTACAGTGCTATCCCATGATTTATTTCTTAATTTAGAGAATGGTGAGAAAATTCCCTTCAAAATTTACAGAGAACTTCCAGTCCTCTAACTCACTCACTAATTGTTAAGAGGGAAATAGTAAATCAAAAGATCTAACCTTGTAGAAATATTTCTTCCGAAGCTTGACCGCTGAGCGGATGCATCTTTTCACATTGATTTTCAGCAACTTATCATTGAAAGTCTGCGGAGCAATGAATAGTGTCAAATAATGATTGTAATACTATTAGCTGCGTCCAACCACACAACCCCCCCCAAAACCAAAAAAAAAATATACACATATACAGTAATTGTCCCTTGATATTACACACACACATAATTAATAGCAACACTTGCGCAGCTTTGACTTTAGGATACCCCATATCATTATAGGCCTCTATGAAAACACACATACTCCCAAAAAATTAATACATATACTCCCCGGGTACTAATCCAACATTTTCAATCAATATCATTTGACGCTTATACAACTTTGACTTTTTAAATCTGTATCATTCTGCAATTGTGTTCACAATGCAAACTTGGTTGCGGCTATTGGATGTGTTTGGAGTGGTGAGGGGTGTCCTTTACATTTCTATTTCCTGTTGGTGGAGAGATATTCCTTTTGGGAATGACAACAGGCAGTCACTTTCTTTTCTTTTCTTTTTCTTTTTTGAGAAGAACGATAACACTCTATTAAAAAATAACATGAATTACAAAATAGTGGATAAGAAATCCACCATCTAGCAAAACTAGCTAAGACCTCTCAAGTAGATCTATTTACAAGTAACATAACCTCAACCAAAATCATTAAACGGCTGCTAACAAGGCAGTCACTTTTGTGCAATATTAGCTCTTTTGTGGATAGCTCGGTTGAAATGAGCAATTGGATTCAGTGATGACAAGTGGGAATGAATTTTCTTTAGACATTCATTCCAAGGAAGTAAAAAGATATGCCTTTAATATTATTTATCTTGAATTAGGGTAATTTAAACTTAAATTTGATTTGAGCCCTTAGTTTGAAGGTGCATCTTAGATTTTACGAGCTTCTCATCCATTCTACTTAATACTTTTTTCCAGTCTTAAACAAAGGTTGTGTTGCCACTAGCACTTTGGTATAGTGGTATTCCTCTAAGTGGGAGGTCTGTGGTTCAACTCCCATGAAGGGCAACTTCCATACCAAATTATGGCAGCCCATTGTGTGGCTTAGGCCAATTCCCCACCGCCCAATATTGTTGTATAAAAAATATTTAAAAATAAAAAAAGGTTGTGTTTTATCCGAAAAACAAAAGTGCAGAAAATCTGACCCAAAATGTTATATCCCAGGTCACCAGAAAAGTAACCATTGACAGGCTGAAAACAAACAGAGAAATTGAATAATTAAGGGATAGCAGCACCTACCTTTATCATATCATCAATTGAACGCGTCTCGCGAATAATTTTCTGACGGTTCATGATGAGGATTGCTGCAACACAGAAGACCGGTAACTCATCATCTCCATTCCTCGTTGATGAGACCACAGAGCAGATGTGCATCCGGTCATTCCTTGACCAAAAATTCCTTGTCAACCCGCAAAAATTATAGGCTGATCCAGACTTCATTCCAGTGTCAGACACGGAGCATTCTAGATTGCCACTATTTGTACGTGATCCGCTCTTTGTATGACCACCACTCTCAGCAGTTTCAACCCTCAATTCTGCTTCAGAGTCACTCGGCAGTTGTACTACCAAGGCTTCCAGACAGTTGTCATCTAAATTGTAAGCCAAGGATTCTTGAAAATCAGCGGCCCACATCATCTGCATTTAACATACTGACAAGTTAAAACTATACAAATACACACTGCAGTTTATGAAGTAAATATGTAGTAGAAAATATCTCATTCTAACTTATCATATACATTCCGGCCAAAAGAAACAAAGGATAATAAAAATAAAAACAATATTATAGACATGCGTAGAGCTTACTCTCCAAACTCCTAACTCCATAGGCTAAGTTTCCTTCCCACTTGTAATTTTTATAACGCCAAGCTCATCATACGTACTACAATACAAGGAAATGCGCTTATAACCCTAAAACCAATATTATGAAAGATGCCCCTTTGACGTCAAATAATTCAGGAAAAGTCACACAGCAAAAAGAAGCAGCAAGCCATCATTTACTGTATGAAGTATGGCAAGGTCACACAAATTAATATTTGCATCTAATCAATACCATAGCTCATCCATTTTGTTACTGTCAATGCAGGCTATGTGGCCCAAATTTTCATAAATTCTTTGGGTAGTCTACCATATCAAGCATGAGAGAGCAACTGAAGAGCACAAACCTCCCACATACAAAGAGCATCATTAAAAGACAACTCCCGACGAAAGAGAACGAGCAGCATCCGGAATGCAAAATGCAGGCTTTCAGCACCTATGTTTGACAGGTGTGAAAACATTTCCCTGTCTGTGAGTTCCAAGATATTCCACAATCCTTGCAACTGCTTCATTACCCCAGTCGGTCCTTCCATTTGGAAATTTTCACGCTGAAAGAAAGGTTTGAAAAGAAAATGTAAGTGATGGAGTATAGAACTATCAAGCTCAATTTATATGTAAAGTTTAGAATACCATTCTTCTTAGAAGCATCTCAAAGCACCAAAATGCATCAGCATCATCCTCAAAGAGAACCACAAATGGAGACAGCAAGTCACTCATACCTAAAATAACAAATTTCCTTTCAAGTCAAACTTACGTCTGCAGCTTTTGAGATAAGTTGGTAGCTTAAGATTTTACTGTTAGAGAGAAATTATGTGGTGACAGAAAAGAGCCTTAAGAAAACAAAACTAATAACAAAAACAACCTTGACAATATCCTGTAGCTGGATCCACCCATGCATAAACAGCAAGAATATCTGACATCCTAGCTAAATTTTTAGCATCCTCGTAGAATTCAAGATGACTATCTGTTCTTACCACATCAACAACTGAAAAAGACAGATTTTGTCAACTTAAAACAATTCTTTAAAAATATCCATGGATGAGAATGAGTAAATTTCCCACCTCCATATAGAAGTACGTAAATACAAGTAAGAATAAGTAAGAAAGGAAACTTACCTATTCGGTGGAGAGTCCAAAGCCATTCAGATACCCTGTCTTCATTCACAGCCCCTCCTTGAGACATGATTGTATTTCTAAATTCTGTTTCTGGTACATCTGATATTTTCAACTCGTTTACCATTTCTGTCTTGTTACCCGTATTATTCGGCTGCGTCACCAATTGATGGGCATCAGTAGAAACCAATTCAATTTCAGAGTTAATGGCACATGAAACTTTCTTGGATGGTGAGCAGTTTGATTCAATAACTAAGTCTACATTGTTATTGACTTGAAAACTGTGCATGCTGTGCTTTTTCGACCTGGACTTATGTTGCAGAGAAACTTTATCATCGTGCACTCCACCTTCTTTTTTATCTTCTTCACACTTTCCAAACAAATCAGCAACAGGTAAAGGAGGAAAATCAAAATAACTTTGTGGTACATGTTTTGTTTCATCTGCTTCGCTCCCTAGCTTTGGGGAGCTGCAGTCATGTGGCCCTGAAGTACGTATGAAAGAAGAAGAATCATATGCTACACTATCTGTGCTCTCCCTCAGACTGACAAGGTCAACCGAATCGCTAGAACTCTCTTGTTGGCATGCATATGATGTATCTGTACAATTATTATTCCTATCACAATAATTCTCTACTTTGTTAGTATTATCAAAAGAAGTTTGTCTATGTTCAACTTTAGCTTCCCTCCCATCCTCCTCTTTAGACGGTGCCCTCACATCCATAACCTTGGACCCAACAACATAAGCAAGTGAACCAGTTCCAATGCTTGAATGGATCATTTGGCACTGCTTAATCAGGTCACTGTAACGTTCCCTGCATGCATAATGAAGATGATGAGTACAAACAAATCCAACAGATTGTACTTCAATTGCACTTACTAATTCAAAAAATAAATAAATAAAATAAAATTCTTTACTGAAAAGAAAAGTTCATGGTGCATTTTAATGTGTAAAAGGGGAATAAAAGCTGAATTACGGCTTCTGATTTATTTTCATTCTTAATCCCTGTCTACACTAAGGATAAATCTACTCCAGAATTTATTTTACAGACTAACTTACACCATGGCTAGATGAGATGAGGCCTGGTTTGCCATCTAGTTTAATAGCACAAGCAACATATCAAAGGTCGAGCTTGGGTGATATGCATGACAAGCCATATAACCAGTCACGTTATGGACAAAATGAGTCTAGAAAGGTTGGGGCATTTCCCTTCAGACCAAAGAAAAAACGATTTTGCATTGTCCTTATCTTTTGACTAAAGTGAATGGAAAGGTACTACATGCCCTGCATACATGACGTCAAATTGACCCATCATTGACCACATGAAGGCCAGTGAATGAAGATGAGGACTGGAATAAGTGATCACTTTCCCAGTGGTACAAGAGATTTAAAAAAGTATAAAATTAAACAAAACAAGAACACTAAGAACTAAGAAGAAAGAACTAGACCTCCGGGCTGTCCGCAACTGCCGCCGAGACTCTTCAGTGCTACCCAGAGCATAACAACCAAGTAAAAATTCCCAGACTTCTGGTCTTATAGATGGATCGACACCCTATAATGCAGCACCAAATTCATTGTAATCATAAGTTAAAAAGTTACATTAGCCATCTTTAACACAGGAATTTCAATACTTCAAAATCACAAAATGACTCAACATTCTTGAAACAAACACGTATAAAACAAAGTTAGCTTTCGCAAACAAATCAACACAGTAAACCAGACAATGATCACTGAAAATGCCAACAGAATACCACCTGAATAGTTAACGTTTATGCCATAGTGAAATGAGAGTTTTTTTTTTTTTTTCGGTTTTAAATGAGAGAATGTACACCAGAAATTCCATGCCTATTCACAGTTGATAGTACAAGTTGTACCAAATAAACAAATATGTGCATCTTCTCTTCAAACACGTTTACCACATTTCTAAAGGCAATGAAATCAAGTGAAAGGATTTGGGATGTTGCAAATAGAGGTCATCTGCAACCCTAATAATGATGTATTTATAACCCCAATCATGATCCTACTATTTGTAAAACAAATTAGTCATAAAAAATAACATAAACAGACCTTTAATTTATAGAAAATTCAATTGAAATGTTAGAAGAAACTCGCTACCTATGAGACACATATTATATTCCATGGTAAAACAACATACCCCCAATGCTATTAATTTGAGTGCCTTCTGAAAACCAAAATTCTTCCCATCGCTATCAAATGTTGCCTGCCACTTCTCCGGCTTAAGCATTTTGTTCACCTGAATCATTGGGACATAAAACATCAATGCTCCATAACAATACAACAATGAACAAAAGAAAACTCATTATGGTAATTTAATTACATGGAGGTCGATTAGTGGTCCACTCTTCACAAATTGTTCCACCCTACGTTATGGTGGTCAACTAATGGTCAGTCACAAAATGTTCCAGCCTAGCCATGACTCTAATATATCATACGTAACTCCCTCACCCTTGTTCCAAAGGCCCAAACTAATAGAAAGATCTGAAGTAGTTTATTTGTGACTCTAATATCACTTCCAATGCCCTCATCCTTGTCCAAACAAAACCCAAACTACCAGAAGATTAAGACGTAGTCTGTGACTACTGGACTGGAGGATTAACCTACCAACAAGGTACAAGTGGAGTTCCCTTGATTTAATAATGACATTGGTGCATGCAGCGTTGGAAATTTCTTCGATATGGTTGATACTCTTGTGGAATTATCGAAAAATCAGGGAAAGATATGGAAACTGGGGGTGAAAACTTCACCCCATATCTTTCGGGAAATCAATAAATTTCTTTGAAATCGTTTATATCAGTGCAGAAATTTCGGCAGAGAATATGCAGATTGGTGGTTGATTCATTTTCTTCTCTGTTTCTTTTTCACGTTTTCTTTTGGTATCATTTGCTTACTTGAAGATTGAGTTTTCAATCTGTTCCGTGAATTCAACTTGCTGATTTCTAGTGTAGCAGAGGTTTGGAAAAGTTTGGCAGATCAACTATTTGATGGGTTTCAGGTTTTCAGCAAGGTTATGGTTTCAGTCCTTCTCGGTGATATATTTGGAGATTCGTTTGAAGTTGTAGGCACGATGCCATTCACTAGGCGCACGTAATCTGTGATCATAGAGTTGAATTATTTTTGGGTTTTCATCTATACCATCTGGGGTTTCAAGATCAAGCGCCGAATTGGACACAGTTGTCTAGTGCACTCTTGCACGTAATCTGTTCGACAAAATGTCTTAGTGAATTGAGGTTCTGCCTTCTTCAATTTTACATTCAGTATTATTTCAAGATTCTATCTTTGTGACTCTAGTATGTTGCAACTGGTAATTTTGATATCAAGGCACGAAGCCAATTGTTAAAACTTAAAACTTGAGGTTTTGGGTACAAAGCATGTTATTGAATGTTCTCAAATGTTGAGCTTTTAAACATGATGCTTGCTCTCTTGTTTTGGGTTTGTTCATGTCTCGATTCATTGTTTGGTTTGCTGAGAGCCTGGTTGGAGGAGAAAGATATGTTAAGGCTTAAAGTTGTTAAGGATTTAGAATTAGGTGTCAAGAAGTTTGTGTAGGCATTGGTGCAATGGGAAAGTACTACGTTGGAAGGCCTAGTCAAAATGAAAGATTAAGATATCAGTTTTAACTACATGAGCCTATGCATTCTTTATGGCATTAGTTTAATTTAATAAGACTTGTGTTGCTTTCATGATGAAAGTTTCAATTAAGTTATGTATAATTTTATCCATTATATCCTTTACTTTATTACTTGTCATTAGAAGGAAGTTGTCATTCTCGCACATCACATACTTATTTTTTTACATAGTATTGAATCATTAATTCTTGATTCATACATAGTGTGGTTTCACATGAAATTCTCTCGAGTTTGATTTTAAATTTTGGCATTTTTGAGCAAATTTCTATCATTTCGATCAAAGGCAACCGATATCGATAATTGCACAAATTTGGATATCGATATTTCCATTGATGCCGATATTTTAGACATTGGGTGCATGATATGCTCCAAAAAAAATGTGGTGGAATGCACAATCTCACATCAGTCATAAACCAAATCCTAATATGTTATATGAGCTTGATTTCACCAGAAAAAGGCATGGCATTATACGGTTGTATTTGACAACTTTTTTGGAAACTCCTTGACTCCTTACCTAAATAAATAATACCCCACCCGCGCGCACACACACACATACAATGTATATACATATATCTAAAAATGTTCTCTAACGAGAATCTAAATTATAACAGATATGCTGGATAAAAAATCCACCTGATCAAGTTCAGACAGGTTGTCTAACAATATAACACGTCAAACTATCTGACAACGGAACATGTTAACATATATATGCGTGCAAAATTCAATATTCTCAAACTTAATCAAGCATTAAAACGAACCCAAATACGCACATGAAAGGTAGTTGGATTGACAATTCACAGGCCATAGACGGAGGTAAGTAAAATGCACAAAGACAAATATTGGTAATGTGAGAATCTTACAGTTATAACCACCTTTATAGGTGACTGAGAGAGGCATGGGTCGCTAATCTCTCGCACAATTGAACCAACTCTTTGCAAATTAATGGCGGCACCTGATTTCCCACAACCACATTGCTTGTCCTCTTCACCTCCACAAGACATGCCAATACCAAAGTTAACCGAAACCCGCCAATACAACCACTACCTATCCTCTTCTTCTCCTTCTCCTTCCCTCTTCTCCTCAACCTCCACAACTACCATTACACAGCGGGGAAAATAAATAGGAAAAACCTCAAATACCCAATCCAGAAATCCAATCAACTGCCAAAGGACAATCCACAACCAAAAAGATTAAGAATTTACGGTGAAAAATGCAGCAATGAATGGAAATGAAAATTGAAATTTGGAACTGGATCCAGGAACTGATTGATGATCAGACGGCGATCGGATCATTGATACAAAATGTTTGTGTGTGAGTTTGTGTCTGTAAATATCCACACACACAGAGAGAGAGAGAGAGAGGAGCTTACCTAAGGAAGAGAGGCTACGGAATAGCATGAGATCTTTGGAGGAGAGAGAGAGAGGGAGAGAGAGAGAGAGCGCGTTGAGGAGGAGCTCCTCCATCACCATTTAACTCACAAACCGTTTTTGTTGGATTCCCCCTGTGTTTTACTTTTCTTTTCTTTTTCTTTTTTTTTTTTTTTTTTTCATTTTATTCTACTGACACATTCTTTTTTTTAACTAGCATATGAGCATACACAAAGTATATTAGAAAATTTTTTATTTTTTTATTTTTTGAAATAAAAGGAGAGAGAAAGAAAGTGATAGAGAAAGTGGGAGTGGAAATATTTTTTTAATTTTTTTAATTAGAGACATATTAGGATTACATGAATGTGAAGCTTTGAAAAAAAAAAAGCAAAATTTGGTTGTGTAAAATTACATTTTTGCCTTATATTTCTTATTCATATTCTGTTTTAATTAAAAGATTAAACTAATAATTTCATAAAATTTTGGTTGATAATGGGTGTTTTATTAATTAGTAAAGATTTGAACCGATCAATCTTTAAGCCGTGAAACAAATATTATATCTAGATAAATGAATAGTTATTCAGATAATAAATTTTTGGAGATTTAGACTTAGTCAAATTGGAATTCTATTATTTATAAAAATAAAAGAATAAGGCAAATAATAATGGTTCACAACAATAATTAAATCGCCAATGTTGAAAATACTGATGGGTAGAGAATGTCCATAGTGTTTTGGTAGAGTTTTTCAATGCCTTCACATATTGGTCTTTAACATTGGCATTGTTTATGACTACACACACACATTGTCAATTCCCATAACATATTGAAATTGACTTTGGGATGCAGGAGATCATATTTTCCAAAAAAAAGTGGTGTAATTTTTCAATGTGTAATTAATGTATCAGTATTAGAGTTGCTCTATAAATAGAGCACTTCGTATGCTTTCAAGATATAGAAAGATATACAGACATAAAAAAAGAAAGATCAATAACATCATCTATTCCTCCGTATTTATTTGTTATCCTCATGTGCTATAGTTTCAGTGTGACATTTTACGCATGCTTTACTCCATTCACTAAAAGATTATCTCTCTAACTTTGACCTATTTATAACACGTTATCAGCATGAGTCTCTAAATATAATTATTCTTTCATTTCTCTTCGCTAAACGAAAGAAAGAAAAAATGTTTCTCCTAAGGTTTATCATGTTCATTTTCTTCCTCTGCCTCAACTGTGCGGTATACCCTCGCGATGAACTATTTGCTCAATGCCTATTCTTACTTCTCAACCTAACGGTTACATACATCTTTGATTTCTTATTTGGTTTAAAGATTGATTACTAACCCAATATTTATTTATGTTAATTTTACTGCAATACAAGATGGCATGGTACAATCGCCCATCTTGAACTGCAAATTTATTCTTACTGCGATCCAAGACGGTGCGATATCATCGCCTATCTTGGACTGCAGATTTAATTTTATCGCAAATTTTAGGTGAAGCGGTATAATTGCCCACCCTACCCTGCGTATTTAAATTTACCTGCTGTTTAATTTCATTGCAATTTTAGGTAATGCGATATAATCGCTCACACTGCTATGTGTATTTAAATTTTCCTGCTACTTGAGTGGTGCGGAATAATTGCCCATTTTATGTTACATTGTTTCAATGAGAATGGTGCGGTACAATCGTCCTCTGCATTCATCCTGAAAATCTCGAGCCAGAAGTTTCAAGTGCTTATCATTTTGGCCTGAAGATCAAAATGAAAAATTTGTAAGAACCAGAAGTTCTAACATCATATTCCTCCACGAATATATATTATTGCAAGTTCTTACACATCTTATTTTCTTTCAAAAAAAAAAATGGCGAACTTGGCGAAGCTTGAATTTGTTGCCTAAATATTACCGGGAAGAATTACCTGACTTGGGTACTGGATACCAAGATCCATCTGGAAGTAGGGAATCTTGGAGATACCATCAGGGAAGAGAGCAGCTCATCCTCTCAGGATCGGGCAAAGGCCTTGATTTTCATTCATCGTCATCTTGATGAGGCGCTAAAAAGCGAGTACTTAACGGTTGAAAATCTGTTAGCTCTCTGGAATGCCTTGAGAAACAGATACAATCACCAGACAACAGTGATTCTTCCAAGGGCCCATTATGAGTGGACTCATCTGAGGATCCAAGACTTCAAGGCAGTGGCAGAGTACAATTCTACGTTGTTCAGAATTACCTCTCAGATAAAGCTCTGTGAGGATACTATTACTGAGGGACATATGCTGGAAAAGACTTTCAACACATTTCATGCCTCTAACGTGCTTCTGCAGTTGCAGTATAAAGAGCGAGGCTACACTAAGTACAACCAGCTGATATCTGTGCTCCCAGTAGCTGAACAAAACAATGAGCTCCTGATGAAAAACCATCATTCATGACCTACTAGATCTGCACCATTCTCAGAAGTGAATGATGCTTCCCTCGAAGTGAACGCCACATCATCTGGTGGTGATAATCATAAACGAGAACGTGACCACAAGCGAGATAGGTGAAATAGGAAAGGCAAGAATTATGGAGTTCAGTTTCACAACCAGATTCAGAGGCATAATTCAGGCCCTAGCTTTAAAAATGTGAATCGCCATAAAGGCAAAGCTCATATTAACAATGCTCCTAGGAACTCTGAAGGAGCCTGCCATAGGTGTGGTGGCAATGGGCATTGGGAGCATACTTACCATACCCCAAAACATCTGGTGGATCTGTATCAAGCCTCCCTCAAAGAGAAGGGTCTCGAGATAAACTTTTTCGACCAGGCTAAACCAATGGATATACCTGATCCAGTGTTTGACTTATCATGGCAGTTGAACACAGCCCACCTAGATGTTCCAGACTTTATTATGGAAATGGGGAATGAAGTATTCCGGTCCGACTAAATCGTTTATGTTTGATGTACTTTTATTATGCTGAAAAATAGCATTTCAATTTAATAAAAGTGGCATTTCCTGTTATAAAATGTTTGTTAACTGTGATTCCATTTAATTAGAAAGCATGGATAAAAACTGTGGTTATTCTCAGAACATGAGAAATGGCAGAAATATTTGTCTTGCAGACAACGCAACCACACATACAATACTTCGTGATCGAAAGTATTTCTTAAGCGTAATACTTGCAAGAGTAAGGATAACAACAATATCAGGACCTTCAAATGTAATTGAAGGCTCAGGGAAAGTCCAGATTATGATTCAAAGGTTTACATGATTTGGCATGACCATCTGGGTCATACAGGATCTACTATGATGCGTAAGATCATTACCAACTCTAATGGACATCCATTAGTGAGCAGACACATTTTTATCTCAAATGATAACCCTTGCAAAGCTTGTTCTCAAAGGAAGTTAGTAATTAGACCATCACAACTAAAGGTTGATGCTGAATCCCTATCATTTCTGCAAAAAATTCTAGGGGATATTTGTGGGTCTATTCAATCATCTTGTGGACTATTTCGATATTTTATAATTTTGGTCGATGCATCTACCCGATGATCACATGTTTGTCTCTTGTCTACTTGGAATGTAGCCTTTGCGAGACTTCTTACTCAAGTAATTAAGTTACGAGCACAGTTCCCAGATTATCTCATTAAGTCAATCTGACTTGATAACGCTGGTGAATTTATTTCTCAAACTTTTGATGATTATTGCATGACATTGGACATTGATGTTGAACACCATGTTCCTCATGTCCATACTCAAAATTGTTTAGTATAAGTATTGATCCAGCGGCTTCAGTTAATAGCTCGCACTTTGCTTATGAAAACCAAATTGCCAGTCTCTACATGGGGACATGCCATCTTACATGCTGCATTATTGGTTCGATTGAGAACTATAGCCAACCATTAATACTCTTCAATACAACTCATGTTTGGACATCAACCAAACATTTCACATTTACAAGTTTTTTGTTGTGTTGTTTATGTGCGTATTGCACCGCCGCAACGCACTAAAATGGGATCTCAGCGTAGACTGAGAATTTACGTGAGTTTTGATTCACCATCTATCATTAGATATTTGGAACCCTTGACAGGTGATATGTTTACAGCTCGTTTTGCTGATTGTCGTTTTGATGAGATAGTATTCCTGTCGTTAGGGGAAGAAAAGATCGTTTCAGAATAACGGAAAGAGCTGACATGGATTGTTCCCACCTTGTCTCATTTTGATCCTCGCGGCATTTAATATGAAAATGAAGTAAGAATGATCGTTCATCTTCAAGGCATTGTCAATCAAATGCCAGATGCATTTAATGATGCTATGAAAATGACAAAATCACATATATCAGCTGCAAATGCACCTGCAAGAATTGATGTCCCTGTTGGACAAAATAAAGTGGCAACGAATGATTCATCTGGTACAAGCCTGAAGCGTGGTAGACCCCCATGTTCAAAACATTCAGCGCCTCGAAAGAGAAAGTTGAGGGCACAACTAAATACAAATGAAATCATTCAAAAAGAGAAAATGAATGATAAATCCATAATTCATGATTCTGGACTTCCAAAAAAAGAAAATATCCTTAATGAGACATATGTCTTTAGAGCGACAGAAGTATATGAAAGCAAAGAAATCTCCATAAATTATGCATGTATAAATAATTATGGGATCGGAATGAAATAAGCATCGATGATATGTTCGCATTCGCAGTAACCACTGAAATTATCTTAAATGATGATATTGAGCCCTGCTCTATTGGTGAATGCAAACAGAGACAGGATTGACCTAAGTGGAAAGAAGCAATCCAGGCAGAATTAAACTCCTTGGAAAGACGGAATGCTTTTGGACCAGTAGTCCAAACCCCGCCTACTGTAAACCCCGTGGGTTACAAATGGGTATTCATAAGGAAACGCAATGAGAAAAACGAGATTGCAAGATACAAAGCACGACTCGTTGCACAAAGCTTTTCTCAAAGACATGGAATTGATTATGAGGAGACATACTTTCCTGTAATGGACGCAATTATGTTTCGTTACTTAATAAGTTTAGTGGTTTCAGAAAGACTTGACATGCGACTTATGGATTTCATCACCGCGTATCTATATGGAGAATTAGATACTGACATATATATGAAAGTCCCAGAAGAACTTAAGTTGCCTGAAACAAGTAACAAACCACGAGGTATGCTCTCGATTAAATTAAGACGATTATTGAATGAGCTGAAACAATCTGGACGAATGTGGTATAATCGTCCGAGTGAGTATTTGATCAAAGAATGGTATATCAACAATGTCATTTGCCCTTGTGTGTTCATTAATAAATTCAATTCTGGATTCGCTATAATGGCAATATATGTTGATGATATGAACCTAGTTCGAACTACTGAATAGCTCAATAAAACTGCTGAATATCTGAAAAGCAAATTTGAAATGAAAGACCTTGGAAAAATAAAATTTTGTCTTGGCCTGCAGATCAAGCATTGTGCTAGTGGAATTTTGGTCCACTAATCAGCTTACATTGAAAAAATTCTGAAGCGATTTGGTATGGACAAGACTTATCCACTCAGCACGTCAATGGTCGTTCGTTCTTTGGACATTAAGAAAGATCTATTCCATCTAAAAGAAGATGATGAACTGGTCATTGGTACAGAAGTACCATATCTGAGTATAGTAGGTGCTTTGTTGTATTTAACACAATGTACTAGACCAAATATAGCTTTTTCAATTAACTTGTTAGTAAGGTATAGTTCTGCTCCAACAATTCGCCATTAGAAGGGTATCAAAGATGTATTGCGGTACCTTCGTAGGACAACAGACATGAGTCTCTTCTACTCAAAGAACTCCACAAATGACCAGGTCCTTGTTGGATATGCAGATGCTGGTTTTCTTTCTGATCCGCATAAAACCCGCTCACAAACTGGATATGTGTTTAAGAATGGACATACAGCAATCTCATGGCGCTCAACCAAACAAACATTAGTTGCTACATCTTCAAATCATTCATAAATACTTGCTTTACATGAAGCAAGTCGTGAATGTTCTTGGTTAAGATCAATGATCCATCATATTTGTAATTCATGTAGTCTAACTTCGAAGACAAACAATCCAACTGTCATCCATGAAGATAATGCAACTTGTATTGCCCAAATGAATGAATGATTCATTAAGGGCGATAAGACTAAACTGATATCTCCAAAAATTTTCAGTGCACATGAGTTTCAGAAGGCTAAAGTTATTGAAGTCAGACAAATTCGTTCAAATGAAAATCTAGCGGACTTGTTCACCAAATCTCTACCAAAGTGCACGTTTCAGAAGTTAGTGCAAAATATCGGATTACGTCGACTTTCAAACAGCTAAATTTGGAGAATGCGGAATCAGGGGGAGTATCCATGATACATGCTTGTTGTACTCTTTTTCCTTAGGATTTTTCCTACTGAGTTTTTCCTATCAAGGTTTTAACGAGGCAACATAAGCATGCTTGACACTATATCAACAATTCAGGAAAAGTTGTACTCTTTTTCCTTCGCTATGATTTTTTCTCACTGGGTTTTTCCAAGCAAGGTTTTAACGAGGTAACTCATGTTGATATGTGGGCATCCAAGGGGGAGTGTTGAAAATACTGATGGGTAGTGAATGCCCATAGCGTCTTGGTGGAGTTTTTCAATGTCTTCACATATTGGTTTTTAACATTGGCATTGTTTATGACTACACACACATATTGTCAATTCCCATAACAGATTGAAATTGACTTTTGGGGATGCAGGAGATCATATTTTCCAAAAGAGTGCTGTAATTTTTCAATGTGTAATTAATGTATCAGTATTGGAGTTGCTCTATAAATAGAGCACTCCGTATACTTTCAAGAGATAGAAAGATATACAGACAGAAAGAAAGAAAGATCAATAACATCATATATTCTTCCGTATTTAGTTGTTATATAGTTTCAGTGTGACATTTTACACCTGCTTTACTCCATTCACTAAAAGGTTATTTCTCTAACTTTGATCTATTTATAACAACCAAAACAATTTTCAATTTGGACGATTGACTCAGGATTATAGTACTAAATGGAAAGTGGGCTTCAACAAGAAAGTAAAGTCACAATAACTGATGGTCAGCAGTAGAGCATTCTTATTAAGAGAGATTTAACGAAAAGCTCCCGATACTATTCATTTTAACAAAAAATTATATTTTTACATTAAAAAGTCAATCTTGGTACTATTCACTTTACCCTTTATTTTATTTTTATCGTTAAAACTCAAAATTTTCAAGCCTTTTTCATTATTATTTCTTAGTATTAACTAATCATTTGGAAGGTTGTCATTAGAATATCAATCTTTTTTACAGTAAAAAGAAGCTGGAAGGTATTTCTTTGAAACCGCAAGCTTTTTTAGTTAGCTAATTTCCTACATTGTATCAATATGTGTATGTAATCATTCTACTTAAATTTCTTTTAGTCTTTATAGTTATATGATTAGTCTCTGATTACTTGGTTGACACGGCAACTTGATGAGAATATCTCATGGACTTCATAAGGTAATATTCATGTGCATTCACTTAGAAAATTAATGTTGAATGATTCAGTTATTTTAGGACTGTGAGATCAAATCATTTAGTCAATATATCAATATACGACTTTGTTAATTTAAGTTAATTATAGAGGGAAATCAGTTTTGATATTTGTTAACGTATGGTCCTTTAAAACCCTAAAATAATATATAGTTGTAAGTCAGACCTAGAAGTTTTATAAATGTAGCATTGTGTGTGGGCAATAGGCAAAAATGTGATAAATGTTATACATTAACCAAAAGCCATCAAGTATCTAAATGTAGCATTGCGTGTGGGCAATAGGCAAAAATGTGATATTTTGATTTTCTTTACATTGCGGAATTTAATTAACACATAGTATTTCAGTTCTTTTTTTTTTCTACAACTTATTCACGCACTCAAATTCATTTTTTTTTTAACGATAACATTTGAGTTAAATTGTTAGTTGTTTATGAGAAAGGAGATTGGTGGGATTCAAATCCGCACCAAGATGCACCTTAATTCCTGCCATCCTTCTAATTTCACTTACAATGAAGCACCTTATTCTTACACACTCAGTCTTACTTAATTAATTTTCTAGTAACTAGATTAATTTCAATCTCGTTTATTTTCATTTTCAATTCCTTTCACTTTCTAACATGACCTTTACCTTCACCTTCACCTTCATTCAAAGCCTTGCCTTGTGTAGAAAGAACTTTGGGCAAAAAAAAAGTTCCTTACTCGGTCGTTCAATCATTTTATTAGAAGTTAAATTCAAAGTGTAAACACAATCACTTAATCAAACGATTGAAAGGCTAAGCAACGAACCTTTATTGGGCCCATATTATTTCTTTCCCTATTATAAGCCCAAACTATTTAGGCCGGTTTGATTGATTAGCACAAATGGGTTGAACCGTCTGCTTCCCGCTCCTATAGCAATTAGCAGCACTACGTTGTTGCAAAGGAAAGGCTCCAACGAACAGAAGAAAAACGCTCTCGCCCCTCTCTGCGTTCTTCAATTCCCGTCGCGAACTCGTTCTTCTAACTCTCTCTGAGCCTCAGCCGTTCCTTCTTATAAAGGTAAACAACTCAATTTTCTCACTGTATGTTTGGTTGCATGTAACGATCCCTATTTCCCCAATTTAGGGTTTAGGGTTTAAGATTCAGGGTTAAATTGTTTGGTTGGCGTGGCTATTTAACTTATTTGAAATTGGGTGGGTTAGCAGCTACTTATTAATTTAGAAATTGGGAGGAAGCACGAGCTGTAATATAAACATAGAAGAAAGCATGAAGGATGGTGTCTGTAAACTGCGGCACTGAGCCTTTTTTTTTTTTTTTTTCCTTTCATTTCTCCATTTAAAGTTCATAGAAATTAGAAATTATAAAAAAGAATGAAACATGACTTATATTTTTGAAGAAATGAAATTACAAATCTATAATTTTTGAAAAAAATTACTCTTCTGCTGTGCTCGTTGGGTTAGTGATTTAGTGTTAAGGGTTTTAATTGTGGTAGTGAGGACATTTTCCGACGCAGCTATTTTATGAACAAAATGATGATGGATTACTGAAATTTGGGTGTTATGATTGATGATTTAGCTATTTAAATGATTGACAGCGTGGATAGCCTGTAATAACGGAGTACTAGCTTTGATCTCATCATAAAATTATTTAGCTTTTATCTCGCTGATATCATTAAAATTTTTGTTCACCGAGTGTTCGGAACTCGTGGACTGTCTTTCATGCTAGGTTGTAACCCATTGACTCAGGTCCAATCCCCTTTCTGCATATACAGTTGAGGGTTGTTATAAATGTAATGCTTATTCCATTGTGGCACTCACTTATTTGTTCGAATGTGGTTTCATTTTATTTGTTTATTGAGCATACCCTATTCATCGGCATTTCATTGTATTAAAGTTATAGCGTGAACATGCTTCAGTTCCTTTGGAATTTTGATCATGAGCTGCACTTTTACAGTGTGTATGAACACTTGATTTTGATTTAAATTTCTGAGAATAACAAGAGTTTTATGAAGCTGACCCTGCATGGGAATGATGTTTCAGTTAAATTGAGCTCTCATTCCTTCTTCTCACTCTCTTGTTCTATAGGTCTGTAAACTCTGCAGCTTTTACAATATGCAGCTGACCCTTGAATTCGGGTAATAAATTTATTTTCCCTGTGTACTATTTTTCAAATTTTATTAATGGTTTATTGTTCTTGAGCTGTTGATTGATCTTGGTTCTTGCTTCAAAGATTGTTTTACCTAATATGAGCATTATCCTAATTAGCTTGGAAAAATTTATTAAAATTTGATTTTATTGTACATTGTTATATATATGTTGTGTTCTTCAGATTTTCAGCAGTGGTTCCTGTATTGTTTTCGTGTAGAATACTAGAATGTGCAGGAGGTTATGATGTCAATGATTTTGAATTCATAGCTTGGTTGGCTACTTTGATATTGTAAAACTGAAGGTGCTTTTGCATTTACAGTTGAATGGGGAAAATAAAAACCTAGCTCCACCATTTTTCTTTTTCTGTTCTATAGAACAATGGTGAAAAGAATTTTTTTGGTATTCCATTGAATTGGATCTTTTCTGGTGATGGATTTATCTCATGATGAATATTGTACTTTTTTGGACTCACACTTTCTTTTTAACAATATCTTTGCATGTCACTTTGGTGGTCAATCTTCTATGAAAATTATTTCGTACGTTTCCTTTTTAGGGTTAGGTATTGTCCACTTTTGATGCTTTGGACATATAGTAAACATGACTGATGAAATTCAAAACTTCCATTAATAAAACATGACAATGATGAAATTCAAAACTTCCATTAATAAAACATGACATCCAGAGCAAGATTCACAATACCATTTTGGGTCTCTTTACACTATGTTCTAGAAGTTTGCAACTCTTTTGTGTTCCAAGAGATTTTGAATTTTTTTTTTTTTTTCCAGTTTTCTCAGATCTTAATTGTAGTGGGAATTGGCATACGTCATTACATAAATGAAATACTCTAATACCGTGACACATCACTAAAATAAAAAGAGGACAGCATGACAGTATAGCACCATTAGCTTTATGGCTATCTACGAGCCATTCTTAAAGTTGACCGGACTTGTTTCGGTATTGCGCTTGGTAGATTCTTAAAGTTGACCTTACTTGTTTCTGTATTGCACTTGGTAGTCTCCCTTTTCTATCATGGGCAAACTCTTATCATGGGAGAACTTTTACATCAATTTTTTTTTTATTAACTTTTATGCCTTTTATAAGGTATTCAGAGTTTGAGTTTGAGTTTTTGACAATATCTTTTGTGTTTTTATGGCAATCCGTTTCAATTGTGTGTGCTTGCACTCTTATCCTTTTTCTACCTTGTGCCTTTTGAACTGAGTGAAACTATGTTTGTTTCCTTATGTGGCGTGGAATCATGTTTTCTTTCTGCAGCGGAGGATTAGAGCTTCTATGCAACTCTGTAAAGATTCATAATGTCAATGTTGAATTGCAAAACGGAGCAGAAAAGGTAAACTTCAGCTTCTGTTAAGGCTAAGAAGAATAAGTAAAAATCTGAAGTGGATTTGGTCGCTTTTATTTATTTCTATTAGTCAACACTGTTTTCGTTTTCTTCTTCTCAGCTAACCATGAAGGATTTGCTCTCTTGGATCCGTATCAATTTGATCAAGGAGAGGCCTGAAATGTTTATGAAAGGGGATACTGTGTAAGCTAAAATCTGTTTCAGACTTGAATTTAAAGTGAACGTGTTCCTCAGTCGCTTTGATAATTTTGTAATAAATATGCGGTTAGTGGTTTTGATAGGTAAAACAAATAACTTGACACAGGGCTATAATACTCTTGTGATAACATGAAGCTTCGGTTGTCTTGCAGGAGACCCGGTGTTCTAGCCCTTGTGAACGATTGCGACTGGGAGCTGAGTGGGCAACTTGATACGACGCTAGAGGAGAAGGATGTCATTGTCTTCATTTCAACCTTGCACGGTGGATAGTATGTGGATCGTTGTATTGACTTTAGATTCTCACTAAAGCCTATATATGGCATGTGATTGTTATTTCGATATAGGATAATGACAAATGGTTTCGGATTCTCACCAAAACATCATACTGTGTGAGCTATTCTGTTGATGTCTCGACATAAAAGATGTGATGCCGGTTGTGATGGGGCTTGTTCGGTGATTACTACTTCGTTTTTAGTTTTTGTGCTGTTTTGTGAAAGGGATACAGTGAAAGTACATGGGAGAATTGGAGAATGGAGAAGAATGAAGTGGGGTGGTAGGAGAAAACAAAAACTTGAAAGTGAGGTAACATCAAATTGTTATTGATCGTTGATCTTTTAGTTGGGAGATTTCAACACGCTTTATTGTTGGTACACGGGAGTGGGGGAGATTTCAACACGTTTTAAAACATTTCACTTATAAGTGAAGATGAAAAATACTAAATTACAGTACTAAGTGAAATGCCCTTTGGTCTTTTAGTTTTTTTGTTTTACTAGAATTAGGTTTAATTCCCTTCTTCTTAAAATACCCTATTTCCTGCTTTATTACTTTTAAGTCTTTATATATTACTATTTAAAATAATCAAATTTCTGGTTTGTCTTCTTTCGTCAACTCATAAATTCAACAAGACTAAAATTCGACAGAGATCTTTTCTTAATTGAGGTTCTCTGCATCAATTTGACATCAGAACAAGATTCGAGTCATGACAACACATTCAAGTAAAAACTTAAAAGAAAAACATATAAAAAATATTCAAATTCATATGTAAGACGGAAATATAAGTAGGACGTAATCTTAATCAACTAACTTAATTCACTTTACTTTAGAATAATTTATTTCTATTAATTAATAAAATCCTATTTATCAATAAAAGATGGTGAAAAGGCATATTTAATCACACAAAAAAATGATAAGCAATAATATAATTTCATATGTGATGTTAAAATACCTTCAATATTAAAAAAAAAAAAACCGAAATAAAAAACCTCCCACTTCTCTCATGTGCTCTCTCTATCTTCCTCCCTCTCTCCTCATTTTCTAAAAAAATATATTTATATACACAAAGTATGTAGACAAATTTTAGTATTTATAATGTAAACTAGGAAATTTCCTCGTAAAAATCAGAGAAACTCCACCAAACAATTACAATGACCGATTCAAGGCCGCCATAGACGTAGGGCCCAACAGCATTGACGGTCCACACTGCAATATGATCGTTCTTCACATTACCCAACAGAATCAGAAGCCGACAAATCGCGCTGGCCAAAATAAATAAATAAATAAAAAGATAAATACAAATAAAAGAAAATAACAATAAAATCATGAGAGAAGGATAGGGTGTCTTGAAAAGTGGAACGACCTCCTCTGTCGGTTGACGTGTTTCTGCATTCCGGATGGACTCGAATTCCCAGCCCTCAGGTTCCAATCCCTAATTTTTCATGAATTTTGCAGCTAATCGGTTTAATTTCTTGTTATTCATTTTGAATTTCACGGTTTAATTTCTGGGTTCAGCAAAAATTGAATTTTTCTTATGCCTTTTTGTATGATTGCTAGTTTGGTATGGAGGGTTTTGGGAGTTTTGATTGGTTGTTCGGGATATTGGAGTTTTGGGGTTTTTGATTGTTGATTAGGGATTGTAATTTCTGGGTTTGGGAATTGTTTTTGAGGTTAGGGTATGTTTGTTTCCCGAGAAAAATTGTGAGGAAAATGGAACGGGTTCTAGTTTGGGATGATCTGTTGTTCATATTTTATCGCTCTGTGTAATTGACTGAAAATTACTCCCCTGCTTTGCGCGTTGGGTTAGTGTTAAGAGTTTTAATTGTGGTAGTGAATTAATTTTCCGACGTAACGATTGTATTAACAAAGTGATGATTGATTACTGGAATTTTGGTGATATCAATGATGATTTAGCTATTGAAATGATTGATATCGTGGTTGATTTGTTAAACAGAGTACAAGATTGTATCCAAGCATAAAATTATGTAGCTTTGCTTGTGCATAACTATCTTTCTCGCTAAAGCTATAATTAAAAGTTGTCTTCACCAAGTATCCAGAACTCGTGGACTGTCTTTCATGTTAGGTGGTAACCCCTTGACTCATTGTCCCCTTGCTGCGTATAACCACACAGTTAAATGTAACGCTTATTCTGTTGTGGCGCTCACTTCTTTGTACCAAGTTTGTTCTAAAATTTCAATATATTTGTTCATGGCACATACCCTATTCCTCGGCAATGAGTTGTGATTTAAATTTATGGGATAGCAAGATTCTGATGAAAACTAGGATGATTTCTTTTATTTTTGCTATGAAATGTTTGGCTTTTGTAAGACATTTGTTTGTGTAACTTCAACTTTTACTAACTTGGCAGATTGTGGTTAAGTTCATGTGGTGGTCATGGTATTGTTTTTGCTTTGGAAATTGAGTTACATTGTGTTCATTTTTGCAGCTAATGGTCCTCCCCCAAAACCATGGGAGAGAGCAGGTTCCTCATCTGGTCCTGCACCTTTTAAACCCCCATCAGCTGGAAGCACGAGTGATGTAGTTGAGGCATCGGGAACTGCTAAACCTGGAGAAATTGTTCCAAGTTCTGATAGAAATACCGCTGCTAATAGAAATGCTCTGGCTAGGCCGGTTCCCTCAAGGCCTTGGGAGCAGAACTATGGAAGCAGCACCAACTATGGAGGTTAGTGAAACATGATCTTCTCCATCCCCTTATTTTGGCTTTCCAAATTACTTTGTTGGCTTTCTAACATTAATTTAACATTAAATTTTGTTTTACCCATTCCAGGATATGGTTCTACTATGAACTATAACTCAGGTTACGGTTCTGGAATATCTGGAACGTCTGGAATGTATGGTTCATATGGTGGAAGTGGAGGATTATACGGTGGGGGGATGTATGGCAACAACAGCATGTATAGGGGAGGGTATGGTGGTGGTGGGCTTTATGGTTCTTCTGGAATGTATGGAGGTGGGATGTACAATGGTAGTTTAGGAGCCCCAATGGGTGGTTATGGAATGGGTATGGGTGGTCCTTATGGAGGTCAAGATCCAAATGATCCATATGGTCCTCCTCCATCTCATCCAGGGTTTTGGGTTTCAGTGCTTCGGGTGGTAAGCATTTGCTGTTTTTACTTGTTTATAGTTTCCTATTGGTCGGATGAAAAATGCATAAACATGAGTGCATTTATAAATTAGGTAGGCTTAATTGACTATGAAGCTTTCTAAATGGCTAAGATGCAGCAAAATGAGAAGTCTATGTATTTCTCGTTTATCTTGGTTTGTGGAGCCAGCTCACATGTCATCTGCAATTCTCTTTTGGGATGGGAATTGATAAAACAAGAAGAGGATGTAGTTATTTCAGGATTCTGATGACGTCCGTGTGATTACTTATTCAAAATTTTATTATTCTTGCAGACGCAAGGTGTGGTTAACTTTTTTGGTCGAATTGCAATTCTCATAGACCAGAACACCCAGGCATTCCATTTGTTCATGTCTGCACTTCTACAGGTTTTTCATCTGTCATTACATCTCTTTATCTGCCCTCAGTGTGGAATCAACTGTTGTACACATATGTTTTAGAGAATTGCATCTTGTTCAATTGCACACGGCACATCCTTATATTTTATGACCTGAACTCTTTAGTACATGATATTAAAAGTCAACGGTAGGATTTCCGGTTTATAAGTTGCCATATTCCTCATATCGTTTGGGTTGAATGGAAGACTAATGACAGATTTGAGACCATTTTAAGACTTAGAGCTTGTTTGTGCATTATGTAACTGTTTGACTTTACTTTGATGCAGCTTTTTGATCGTTCTGGATTATTGTACGGAGAGCTAGCTAGATTTGTATTCAGGATGCTGGGAGTTAAAACAAAATCCAAGGTTCATCCTCCAGGTCCGAACGGGTTTAATGGACCGCATGGACCCAACGGACCCCATGGACCCTACGGAGGAAACCAGAACTTCATCGAGGGTCCGAGACCTGCTCCTAGTGGTGGTTGGGACAATGTTTGGGAAAATGATGCCGGTAAATGAAGAGACAAGTGATATTTTGCCCGCCCGGTGAATCGTGCTTGCAACCAGGAAAACAGGGAGGAAGAAAGGAATATCTTCAACCCCCACTTTAGTGAACAAGAGTGCCAATAGAAGCGAATGTAGATGTGGAGTCCTGTATCTTTGGTACTGGTACCAAATTGTTTGTGGGTCGTTAGATGAGCCAGTGAAAAAAAAAAAAAAAAAAAAAAAGTGTGACAAAATAAGATATAAGCATTGTGGACGTCTTGAATCTGAAATGTTTATGTTTAATTATAAGTTATTACATTCTTAACATTAGTTTCATCTGGAAATTTATTATTCAACTAAGGGTGTGTTTACTTGTGAGGAATAGAAATTAGAATCATTTGTTTCTCGTGTATCCGTGGTTTACTAGAACAGGGCTGCATGAGAATCATTTCACTTTTTAACTTTCTCGTGTTCTTACTCATACATTTGGAATAAAAAAAAGTACCTAGTTTTCCTTGAAATCCGTAATGAAATAACTAGGAATTGGAAATTAAATCAACTAGTAGGGTTAGTTGATCCAATTTTCTTTCCTTCCCATATTTCTAAGCAAACTAAAAATGAAAACTCGGCTTCCTGGACGGCTTCTACGTTTGTGAATCTTTGCATAAACAAATAACTACAGCACGGTAAACTGTTTACAGTACTAAAACTGGTACTTCATATTATTTGCAGGGGAAAACATGAACCGTTGTATAAACAAATACAGAGCACATAGTCGCACTTGCAAGGTCCAACAAAAAAACTTCCTAGTATGAGTTCGGAGGTACAAGGCTTAAACTCGACGAGTAAGATTACTCGATCGGCTGGAACCAGAAATTAAAATTGTCTGCAACTAACATGATTTCTTGTTCTCAGGTATCAATAATTCTTGTGTAATTTCTATACATACAGCTATACATTTCGATGGTTTCCTCATGCAGCTAACAGAACTTATGATATTGTGGGCAGGGGTCACGGGACAAACCGTTTCATAAATAATTGCAGATCTCTGCCATGCAAGCACCTATGTAGCTCCAGTCATTTAGTTAAAGCTCAAATTTCCAAGATTTGATTGCTGGCTGGTCTTCTTCAATGACAAACAAGCGGCAATGACGAATAAGTACGTGTTAAGTCCATATTAAGTTCCTGACCTCATTGTATAACTAAGCTCCTTCAACTCGCACAGTGGCTCCTGGCGAGAAGAAAAACAAAGCCGCGGTACAAGCTTGAGGATGAGTGTGAGAATTCAGCATATTCTTCTGGAATCTTCTGAAAATGGACAACCAAAACCTCCCAAGATGCTATAGTAGGCTCATCAACTTCTTTAATGCTTCTATTCCACTGCATATACAGAAGTTGTGCAATATCAATACAGACATCAAGTGTTTTAAACAAGTTTTTGTTTAAGGCACTACACATCGTCTTCTGTCTGACAGATTCAGGATCTCTTTAAGAAAATAATTTCAAATGCTACACCAATCTAAGCAGAAATCTCAATGTAAAGCAAAGTTACAATCATCCAGAAAAGCGAAGCACTGATACCTTTTTGGAAAAGAGGGTATTAGATCCTCAATTACTCGAACAATTATTGTACCATCATCATTTTCCTGAGCAAATGTCTGTTTTTCTTCTACCTCTGTCATGAGCACAAAAATGAAGTCTTTATGTTTTCACTTTCGACCACAAAGTGGGGGAATAAGGGTAACAAAAACGTAAATCATGTACCATTTTATTAGGAATCTTTTTTATTTTGGATACAATCAAGTCTTAAGTAGTTATGAAAAAAAATTAAATCCTAATGATGGGTTTCATTTTTCTCATTAGGATTTAATTTTCTTTAGTTCACTCTCCATATGACATGAGAGAAGGAAAAAAGAATAATAATAGTTGGATACCTTGATAATCTTCTTGAGCTGCACAATTACCTCTCAGATATAAACAATCATCCCAGTCTAAACCCAATCCTTCTCTCTGTGCAAAATCATCCAACATATGACCAATGAGATTATACGCAATCATGCTTGTCTCATCACATACCTCTTGGACGGCAAGGTATTCATTCTTACAAGTAGTTTGCTTATTAAGCGCCTCTTCTGGGTTGAGATGCAGCGAGTTTTCCGTATCCATTCCAGTATTACACTCAGGTTCATGTCTCTCATTGAAATTTCCATCAAACCCTGTTCTGATACCACTGCAGTCTACAGAATCAGCTTGAGTGGAGAGCATATGTTCAAGTCGCTTACTGTTGTGAGATGTAAGGAGGGGATAACTGCAATTAGGGGTAGTATTAGCAGTAGGTGGCTTGCAAAAAGATGGCATTGACTCCCCAGTACTTTCAACTTCACCATATGAATCATTAGAATGAGATCTCTCACTTCCAGATATTCTATCTTCCTCGAGCCAACCCTTGTTGTCAATATTATCGTTGCCGTCGTCGTCATCATCATTATCATCACTTTCTTCCATTTCTTCCATATATGCATCAGAGAAATCTACATCCAAGTCATGATCAGGAAACGTATCCCAAATAATCTGCTTTATCTGAGCACTCACATTCAATATGCATTCTACCTCTTCTTCAATTTCATCCTTTAGGATGCGTCTATCTGATTTACTCTGGGAATTCCTATTGATAAAAACAAGTGCTTCTAATAAAGACTTGGGAATGGTATCCATATCACCACACTCGAAAAGAAATTCAGTTAGCATTTTCCTAATTGCTCTCCTCAAACTCCTGTTGGATACTTTAGCATTCGGGTCTAGCAGAATCTTCAAGTTTCTCAGCTCTGGTATTGTAATCTTTGTCTTAACTAACCAAATAGCTCTAGCTATCTCATCCTGCAATATCTTTATTTCTGGTGAGAATTGGTGAAACTCTGTTGCGGTGGAATTATGAAAACCTGGTATTAACTTCATTGATAAGCCTACTACTGCCAAGGCTTTGGCTAATGGCTGCTGCAGTTCATCACCTATGCCAAGTTCTGTGAGCATTTCCTGACTTGTTTCCCTCACTTGATTAATTAGTCTATCTCGATTCCATCCACTTTTTTTAGACCGTAGTTGAGGCAGACTTTGTCGCCCTCTAAGCTTTTTGTTCATTGCAATTAGAGTCTCAAGAGGCATGTCCGGGAGTCTATCCAACAGCTTTCTAGCGGCAGCACGATTAGATTGTGATCTGGAGGATAGAACTGTGATAAAATTATCTCGGAAATATTGTGGCTCATTGAGAAGTTGAGAAAGATATTGAGAAATTTCCACTTTATCATCATCTTTATCTTGGCTTCCGAAAACTTTTGGCAAAGATTCTCTGATAACCTTTTTCATCTTCCAACGAGTTTTCTCAAACTTGGCTGAGCCTCCTGTTAGTTTCAAAGCAAAAAGGTAAAGCCCCTTGTTAGTCAAGTCATCAAGGCACGATGACAAGACTCTGGATATATTTGGTGTGTCAAACAGCTGTATATCATCTTGAAATACTCGAGTCCCTCCAACTTCACATCCTAAGGCTGCATCAACACAAGACTTTGCAACTTCATAGAACATCTGACAGACAGATTGAGTAGATCGTAAGCATAATTGAAAAAAGGTAATCAAACAACTTTGGAATAATGCTAGAGGAACACAAGCCAGGTAGAAGAAACACAGAAGAAAACTAAAGTTCTGCCTGGTAGTGCTTCTTTATGAAGCACTTCCAACCAGCAGATCTTCTGTTGGAATCACAATTTAGAATACACACACACATTTGTATATATATTGATACACACACATTTGTATATATCTTCTGTTGGAATCACAATTCAAATACGTTTATTTGAAGGATATCTTTTAGGGCCCCCTATGTATTGTAGATTAATGATGCGACCATCAATTTTTTAAATCTTCCCTCAAAGACCAAACTCTGCAAAAAATTTACCCAAATCAGAGGACAAATAACCATTTGATCCCAACTAGATGTCTTAATGGTTTATAATTTGTCTTAACTTTTTTCCAAGGAAGATCTATGATTGAAGATTCCAAAACAAGGTTATTGGATTATTCAAATACGCTGGGGATTGTGCCCCACAAGGGGTCACTCAAATAAGCTTATTTGAGGGATCCCTAAATGGAAAGGGACTCATGCAGAAGTGCTTGAACTAAATCCCACTAGCACCTTAATGCAATCAGCTGACTATGTAGAACCGATACTGGTACAAGAACGAATGATGATCATATTAAGCATGCATTTTGGAAGACTAAAAGGTTAATACTGATGCATATTAAATTCTGTATAACAGCAATAAGCACTTTTATTATGCTGATGGTGCATGTTTACAGCAGGAGGATCTAAATGTCACTGTCAATCTTTTTGCCTTCTGAATAAGAAGCTCCAGCTTTAATAAGAGCAGTTCAAAATAAAGAAGATAAGGCATAAAACCTCTGTATGCATAGTTCCAAAAACAATGCATTGGTATCCAGTGTTTGTCTACTTAACACGCACTCCCACACGGCAATCCAATTATCTATGTTGTAATCTACATTACATAAGAAGAACCAATAAGAATGGCACTGCCACTTAATCTTAAAATGTCGCGACGAGGCCACACCTCTAGATTCCCGAATTGGTGAAAACACAAATTATTCATATTCCGGGGTTATCATATGCTACTGGACACTACATCTATGCCTAATGCACACATTATATGCACTCTTCTTTCAAACGCAGTAAATGCACACATTATATGCACTCTTCTTTCAAACGCAGTAAAAGCACGTATATATCGACAAGAGAAATAAACTCACGTCGTCTTCCCTAAGAAACGATTCGGGCAACGCCTTGTTTTCTAAAAACTCAGGATTCTCAAACTTCTTTTGCTCAGCATTGGAAGCAGGAAGCCCCAACAACCACCTACACAGAAAATTCAAAAATTCAAAAAATCAATCAATCAATAAGCATAACTATTGGTCAATTAAAAAACTTTTAAGAAAAACAAAATTTCTGGGCACAGAAGAAAGAGCTTAAATTTATCAATTCGCACACAACCAGGGACTGAATCGAAGAAAGGAAATTGGTAAATCGGAAAAGTAAAAAGAAAAGAAAATTTGAATGACCTCCTTTTGAGTTGAATCTGCTTCTCTTGGCGTTTAATTTGTGACCAAATAGAATCGTTATCCGTGTTGTAAATCTCAAAGTCTTCCTCCATCAGCTGCGATTTCGATTTGATATTTGTTTGAGAGACGGAGAAAATGTATCTGTCTGCACTCTCTGTAGGGTTTTAGAAGCCGAGGGGTTCTGAGGGGGGAAGGGTGCGGGAGGACAAAGTCTTGAGTTCCGCATCGCACGTATCTGTGCGGGCCTTAAGACAAAATCCCCAAGCCCACCACAACCGGGGTGGGGTCAAGAGTGATGTGTGAGAGGGAAATTTTGTAGTACGTCGAGAAAACAGCCCGTAAAGTATCATAATAAAATTGTTTAATTTTTTTTTTTAAATTTTCAATCAATTTATTATTATATTTAATGAGTCAGGTCGTGTTCTCAGCACACTGAAAAATCAAGAAAAGTGGGGTAGGGAAATTATTTTGTGTGTGGGGCCAACAAGTTGGGTCTTGTATTTTAGAATTTCTTTACCGCTACCTCATGTAATGACTCCATCCTTCTCTCACATCGCCCTTTGGCCCAACACCTTCGAATTCCTCACATAAGAATTTCTCATGCGAGAGAATCTTGACTCCGGAACAACCTTAGCACCTTTTACCAAGTTATTCTGCAAGTTAGTGCACCGTCTGAAAAATTCTATCCTCAAGATTTCTGAGTCTAGTTGCCCCCTTTGGACTCGCTTAAGCACGACATTGCCGCAAGACGAACTGATTTGGTACGCTAATCCATAATAGAAGTAAACGTACTTTGGCCCTCGGCGGCAAAATTCATAAGTATTACCCACATGATTTTCGAAACTCCCTTTGCATTATTCTCTCAAATGGTTAAAGCCTGGTTTGAATCGTATAACCCATAACCCTTGAGTTGCATAAACTTTCCAAAAGCCAAATGGTTGGTTGGATCATCGAATAGCAGGTTCAGGTCCCAAAATTCGAAGTATGCCTAATGTAACCGCTCTTAAGACGTTTACTAAAACTATTATAAAATATAATAACATACTATTATGTCAATTTTTGTATCATAATCTACATTTTGCTGTTATTAGGCATACTTATAAAATGATATAAAAAAAATTCATTAAGAACGTCCAATAACTTACATGAGACAAGCGTGTGAATGTGGTTAAAGCAAACGAGGCCACACATGCTAAAAGAAATAACACAACTCCATAACTACAAGCTTATTTAAAGAACAATACAATTCCTCAATCACAAAAAGATCCCAATCCTATCAACACAAAAGATAACAGTCACGAGAACTAAAATGTGTTAGTTGCATAACTATCGAAATCATCACAAGGTAATGACTGCAACATCATATGCTGATCTTGTAATTGTTGACAAAAAGCATCTGTACTATGAGTCAACTTGAAGTTATTCTTGATAGTCATTTACCATGCTTATAAACCACTAAACCACAATTCAAGATTTAAACAATAATCGTTGCTCTAAGATCCAAGGTTGAATGGTAAGCCACAACTGTTAACAAAAGTTCTTCTTAATAGAGCGAGAGAGTAACCACAATCTCAAAGACTACTACAAGAACGAGAGTGATCACCACTAAAAGCATGAACAAAAGGTTCTAGCCAACCCAAAAGCTAAAGGCATGAGTCGGAAGTGGCATAGCTTTTCTTTGTTTGTTTTTACTGCTTGCAATTTTTTTTTAAATTATTACTTTTTATTTAGGACACACTTACAAGATTTTAAGACCTAACTTAATATAACAGTTTTCGAATCTTCCTCTCTAATAATTTATTTAAAATAATAATAATTTATGGTCATTTGATAACCATTTCGTGTTTTTTTTTCCTTTTATTTTTTTAAAACATAAATCTTGTTTGGCAACTACATGCAGTTTAAAAAAGTGAAAACTATTTTCTCTAGTTTTCAAAATTTGCTCTTGAGTTTCAACCTTTGGTATACTAAACAAGATTTCAGCTTTCAAAAAAGTGAAAACTTAACTAAAACGAGATGGTTATCGAACTGTCCCTTAGACCATTTCCAACTCTTGGGTTAAAACTTAAAATTTTTAGCAAGAAAATTTAGTTTTAACCCAGAAACAACTTTTCTGCTCCAACCCTTTTGATCTAAAATTTTTGCCCAGATTATTAAAGAATAAATTTAGGCTTTTTTTTTAAAACAAAATTATGTAGACTATCCCAATTAATTTTATGAACATTTTAACCTTAAAATATTTAAATTTCAATAAATATTGAAAAATCACTAAATATACACATGAAACTTAAGAAACACAATAGAAGAATATGAAACACAAGATAGAGATGTATAAACACAAAACACACAAAGCACATATGAAGCATATACAAAACATATGATAGAGATGTATAACACATTAAACACATGAAACACACAAAACAAACGAAACACATACCAAATACATACAAAACACATGAAACACAAACCTATACACCTGAAACGCAAACCTTCAATCATCCTCCATATAAACATATGTTGAATATCTAACCATCACACAACATATTCACCAATCATCCAACTTTTATGGTGTTTTTGTTTTCTCAAAATTATCAATATCTCATCAATGGATGATAGAAGAATGCGTAGATTGGTAATGTAAAGGGCACAATACCAAGCAAGCCTTGCAACTAGGCATGCAGAAATGAACAACGAAGAAGCCGAATTAGCAAACTCGTTTATGCAATATGAGCACCATGTCGGATCTAGCTATCATGGTTCTGTCACGAGACGTTCATTTATGCAGCGTGATTTTCAGAGGCAATATTGGATGAGAAGAGAGTTTTTTTTTTTTTTTTTTAAAGCATCTTAAATGCAGTTGTCCATCATGACCACTACCTTGCAAGGAAGATAGATGTCATAGGCTAATAAAGTCTATCACCTCATCAAAAGCTCACATTTGCATTCAGATGCTAGCTAATGGGTACTCTGCATACTTAACTGACAAATATTGTCAACTTGCGGAAAGTACTGCTATTGAGAACCTTAAGCGCTTTTGTAAGACAATTAAAGCCATATATGGAGCCACATACCTCCGAAAGCCAAATCTTGAAGACTTGAAGAGGCTTCTACACAAAGTAGACAAAAAAAGGCTTCCCTAGCATGATAGGAAGTCTCGATTGCATGCATTGGGAGTGGAAGAATTGTCCTACTGCTTAGGCTAGCCAATTCAAGGGAGTGCAACAATATGTACAATAATTATTGAAGGCCTTTTGAATTATTGAAGGCATCTATTGTACATCAAAGTGCAAAAATATGTAGAATAATTATTCAAGGCATCTTGAATAGAAACAATAATTAATAAGCTATAAATTTAATACAAACAATAATTAATAAGTCATAAACTTAATACAAATGATAATTAATAAACTACACAAACTTAATACAAACGACAATTAATAAACTACATATACTTAATACAAACGGCAATTAGTAAACTACATAAACTTAATATAAACGATAATTAGTAAACTACATAAACTTAATAATGACATCCACCACCTTGACTTGGTGGTGACTTGGGATATAGCCTTGAGATGAATCATTATCTTGAAAGATACTCTTTGTGGCATGCTTTCGTAAAATTTCCTTTTACTTATCATGTAAGACTTTCTTCCTATATGGAGTGTATTTGTTGAGGTCCTCCTTATCAAATCACATTCGAACCTTTCTTGCTCCCTTTCCCCTTCCTTCATAAAAGCCAAGCGCATTCGGGCCGCTTCTTCCTCCCAAGAGCTATAGCTTTAAGCCAATTTTGTAAATTTGATAGAAATCGTTGCACTAACCGGATCTTGGAACTTCCCTTTTCTCTTTGCTTCCTTTGCTTATCTCTTCCCAGAGGCCTTGCAAAATAAGAAATTGGGGTCAACGAATCGACACATCATTGACATCATTTGTCTTCGTGGCTTCACTACCAAATAATTTTCCTCATTATTGGTCCACATCGGTTCCCCACCTTTGACAATCCTTGAGGACATCCCAAGCATGATGCAACTTAAAAGCTTGGTTTTTTTGCGTAGTTCTTGTCTTGTAAATTGCCATTGCTTTGTCACCCTATGCAAGAAATACACAAATACAATTAGTTACAAAATAAGATTATGTACATGACAAATAACATATCAACAAAGAAACTCACCACTTATATGGCACTCGTTTCACTAGCCATGTCAATCATAACTTTCTCCAAGCTTCCTTTCTATAAAGTGCATACTTTGTTGATAACCTTCCACTAATCGTAAACACCACCAAATTCCCTTCGGCCAGAGTTAGAATTTTCATTGAACTTATCAACGATTTTAGCCCACAAAACCTTTTTATTTTGATTCATGCCAATGGCATAATAGCAACTCATGCCACACATAAAGCAAAATTTTCCTCAAATGACCAATTATGACCTCTAATATGATCTTTTGCCATCTTGAAAATTTGAAATTGGAAGAAATGGTTTTGGAAGATGGTAGAAAGAAAAATTGAAAGAATTGTTGGAGAAAAGTGACTTTTGTGTGGATATTTGAACATGTATTTATAGAGTTTTTGGGTGAATTTTGAGTTAAATATATACTTTTTTGTTTTAGCCGTTGGATTTAAAGTTGGACCGTTAGATCTTTTTTTTTTTTTTTTTTACCATTATATTTGATTATCGATCTCACATTGGATTCAATAAATGTATAAATATAAAACTATAAATTGAATAAATTAAAGTGGACCGTTCGATATCCAAGGTCCATTTGATTTATGGCCATTGGATCATAAAAATGAGTCGTTGGGCTCGTGTCACGGGGCGACAGCCCCACATGGGTGGGCTAGGGAAGCTAAGGTGGGCAAGCACTGTGCAGGCTGTGCGCACGTTTAGGCTGGGCGAGTTCAGTTCACTTCCCTTGTTCCACTCTCAAATGTGGGCTTCACCACTAATTTTGGGCTAAATTTTGGCCGGAATTTGGGTTTTTTTTTATGAGTTCTAACCCTTAAACCCCATTTTAGCACAAGGGTTGGAATGAAAGGGGGGCATAGAAGGGGAATTTTAGGACTTACTCCAAGGGTTGGAGTTGGTCTTAAGAACTAACCTGGGAGGAAAAAAATGTGGAAGACTAAAGTAGAAAAACTCTAAAATTTAGGGGCAAATATGAAATAAAGCCGAACAAATTAATGTTGTAACTGGTACTGAGGTCCAGAGCAAAGGATCACTGAGCACAGAAGATCTAGTCAACCATGAAGAACCACAGCAACCAAAAAAACAGCAGAGAAGAAGAAAATCACTCCAAAGATGAAGGTTCTATCTCATCCCTCGATTCAACATTCAACCAAACGCTCCGAAATGTTCAAGGGTACCTCTCCCTCTTCCCAACAATAGCTCTTTCTTTTTCTTTTTTTTTTGTCGTTTTAAATTTACAGTTTGTTTTCTCATTATTTGTGAATTTTGGTAAAGATTTTCCTCAGATTTGAAAACCCATTTGAAAAAGCTTGTTCTTTTACTACAATTAACTATTGGGAATTCTTAATTCGACTGTCTATTTCACACCCACAAATGATTTCAATTCCTTGCATTTGGGAAAACCCATGATGGAATTGGTCCAGTACGTAAATTATAGATTTTTTTCTCCCAATTTCTACAATTTGGCCGAGGAACGAATGTGGGTTTTGGTGGTTCCTTTTGTTATGTAAATCAGTGGAAAGAGTTCAGTGATTTGTGAGATCTATGTGCTTAGATTGAAGAATCCATTAATGCACATTTCTGTTTGGTTGGTGAGAAAATGGGGACAACAGATGCAATCAGACTATTGGAATTTAGAGTTAACGGGCGATTCACAGTTTTAATCCCGCTTATTGTGCTTTGTTTTCCGTCGGCCTATTGTATAAATGAAACCGTAAATTGATGTCATATTGCTGAAAATTGGTTGTAGGAGATTCAGTTTTTTGCTGGATTTGTTTCAATGACTAAGAAGCATGTGTGTCTCAGATTTACTGATTTATGGTAGAATGGTTATGTGTAGGATAATTTGGTTTGTTATATTGAAGTTCGGAAGAACGATTCAGTTCTGCACTAGTACTGACTTTTACATTGTCTTACTCCTGCACCTTCCATCAGCATCATAGTTAGATATTAGTTACATTTGGTATAAGTCCGATTGTGTTTTGTCTTAAAGTTAGCTAAATATCTTATTTTATTTATGTTCTGATTCTATTTTCTGATATCTAGGTTGCTCAAAGGGCGTAGCATTCCTGGTAAAGTGTTACTGAGTCGGAGATCAGACCCGCTAGATCAGTCAAACATCCAAGACCCCTCTCCAAATTATGAAAGGAGCTTCTCATACAACGAATCTGAAACAAGCGATCGTATGGCCAACGAACTGGAGGTATATTTTGATATATCTTTTGTGTAATAAATTTCTATATCATAGTATTTGCACTAAATGATTAACTCAGAATGTAAAAGCTAGGATTTTACTTCTAAAATAGGAAGTGCAGAGTTCAATCAAGCCAAACAATAATGAAAATTCAAATAGCCTAAATTCATCCACTTCCGATACTGAGAATACTTCCAAAGAAGCTCAGAAATCCACCACGGGTGCTAGATGTACTGATTCTGCTAGAGTTGCAAAGTTCACAAAGGTTCTCTCAGGGACAACAGTCATACTAGGTATAATGACTTTCTCATCACTCTTTCCCCTGTTATTTTCTCCTGCATATATGGTGATAATATTAATATTATAGCAGCAGGGTGGCCCTTGGACCTGTTAGAATATGCTCTCGATTATGTTTCTTTACGTTTTTTTATAAGCGTATCATCATGATTAAAGGACAACCTTATCACTTGAAATCTGAATTTTCCATTATTTTCTTTATGATATATCTATCACTCCACAAATTTTGGTTCGTGCTGAGCTGACTGAGCTCTGTATTATTTTAATTCCTCTTTCCTTTTTCTTTTAAAAATTAGTTTTTAATTGTTTGTGTAGAGAAGTTGCGTGAGTTGTCTTGGAGTGGCATACCACCATATATGCGACCAGACGTATGGAGGCTTCTTTTGGTAAGCTCGAGGTTTGGATCCTTTTAAGAATTTGAAATTTTTTGGATGCTAATAATTGGTTTATTGGGCATTAGCTTGTACGGATGCTGAAAATATTGAAATATTGCCCATAGAGCATTATGCATGAAAAGTATTCACTTTGTGCGGGCATAGTTGATGTTGAATTTAAAGGATCTACTGCTGGATAGATACCTTTTGGCCGTAATCCTCTTGGTAGTAGCATGTAATGTGTAAATGTGACGACCGGATACTTTGTGTGGCTTGCATATAGTATACTCTGTGCTAACATTGTGATAGGAAGCATAATGGACATTAAGGATGCAAGGTTCTCCTTAAGGTCCACTGTATTGGCTTTTGTAATTCTACAGTTTTGTTCATTACAACCATATCTGCAGCTGGGTCATGGATGTCAAGTGCACCCTGTGGGTGGCCATTGTTCTGCCCATGCTTTGAAATTGATGTTTTATGCATTTTTGATCCTTTTGTGGTTATTTTTCACTTCATATCGTTGACTTTTTCTTGTTTATGAATTTTTTGTTGCTTTGTTTTTTATAATTGGAATGGAAGTTTTAAAGAATTTGTTTAGATAACATTATGTCTTAGAAAGGGAGTTCATTTTTTATATCCCCTTGTAATAACCTGGGATATCTTTATCTGGTAAGTTGTTACTTGTATGAAATTAAACATGAACTGACAACAGGGATATGCACCACCTAATTCAGATAGAAGGGGGGGAGTTCTGAAAAGGAAGCGCCTCGAGTATCTTGATTGTGTTTCCCAGTACTATGACATTCCGGATTCTGAGCGCTCAGATGATGAGATAAACATGCTTCGCCAGGTGCCTTGATATATTCCAAAATGCCCATCTGCTTAGTTCTAAATTTCTAATACGTTTTTTGGTGAATTTAACAATAACTTATTGTTATCTTAGATTGCTGTTGATTGCCCAAGAACAGTGCCAGATGTATCCTTTTTTCAGCAAGAACAAGTCCAGAAATCCTTGGAGCGGATCCTTTACACATGGTTAAATACTATTCCTGGTCCCTTTTGAGTTTTATTAACATCTTATGTGTTAATGTGAGAAAAGGTGACATGATGGCTTATGGAATATCTTCTTCAACCTATGTTCAGCAGCTCATGAACCCAAATATGTTTGACCTTCTGTTTTATATTTTTATCAACCTTTGCAATAGCCTGTATCTATTGGACCACTTATGCCTAACAACAAGCATAAAATACTGATCCCAGATATATGGTTTATCTAGAAAGTTCAGACCAATTGTCTTAGTTTAGGGTTCATGCAAAGGACTTTGGTTCATTAAACATGCGGATAATTACGCTGTAGTTACAGTATGAAACATATATCATTTTGGCTCTGCATTGTTGTCTTCCATCTTGAGTAGGGTTTAAAAACCAGCCTATGTCCATGTCTATACTTTAGAGGTTTCTTATTAATAAAGAGACGTAGTTGGATATTTCTGACTTGCCTTAAAGGATTTCCTAAAGTATTAGTTTCAAATTGTGTGGTTCGCGGATGGTGCTTTCAAGTTTGATAGCTACTTGTTTAAGTTCATATGTTCTAGTTCAACTGCGCTATATTTTTGGGTAGGATTGACCGTCTATTTAGAGGGATGGGAATACAGGGCCTGATTCTCATACCCAAACTGTTACTCAACTATTAGTGAGTATTATTATTATTTTTTTTAGAAGAAACTATAACAGTTTATTAAAAAAGAAAAGTGAAATACACAGAAGTGGATAAGAAATCCACCAAGAACAGAACAAGAAAATCTCGCAAGAGGATCTTTTTGTAATCAGGATGTTTTAAGGTCTAGGTCTATTCCATTGGCTTTCCATGGAGCATCTTTTTGTAAATGTGGAGTGTGCGCAGATAGTATGTGATACAACATTTACTTATCGAAGTGAAAATGATTATGCGTTTACTTATTCTGCTAGCATTACGAATTGGGTGAGCAGTTTTTGGGTTTCTGTAATTTAGATTTTAAAAATTGAGTCAGATATGGAGCATGGTTATTATGATCATTTTGAGTTATTTGTTTCTTGAATTTTTTTGTTATTATGATCACTAGTGACATGTTTTCAACTTACTTTTCCTAATTTCTTTCAGGGCCATTAGACATCCTGCAAGTGGATATGTTCAGGGAATAAATGATCTGGCTACTCCCTTTCTAGTAGTTTTCTTGTCAGAATACTTAGAAGGGAGTGTGGATAATTGGTCAATCTCCGATCTGTCTCCCGATAAAATATCTTACGTTGAGGCTGATTGCTATTGGTGCCTATCAAAGTTACTCGATGGTATGCAAGATCATTACACATTTGCTCAGCCGGGAATCCAGAGGCTAGTTTTTAAGCTAAAGGAATTGGTCAGGCGGATTGATGGTAACTCCCATATTTCAGTATCTAGTTTCTCCTTCTTGCACCTCTTTTCCTGCATGACCCAGTACTTTTTTTATAATGAATTTACAAGCTACATTTGGTTAGTTTTATTATTTCTGTCAATTTTTTGAAGAATTGAAACATTTCCTCTGTCATGGTTTTCAAAATGGAATTTTCTTCTCTTTGTTATGCATATTAGGACTTATGGGTAACTACAAGCGGTGAATGAGAGAGCCAAAGCAACATGCTCCATTTCCTGTAGGGTACTTTATAATAATTTTTTGGGTGTTTCTGGGGTGTATGTTCGTATGTTGTCAAAGAGAATAAATAGGATGTGTGGAAGGCAGAATGATCTGAGATTAGTATGGCAGGCGTTGCTTCACATATGGATGCTTTGGCTGCCTAAAGATGGGGCGTTCTAATCATGCAGGAATTAATGAAGGGACATATAGAATTTGTTTTAAACTTATCCAAATTATACTAAAATATAAGCTTATATTTTATTGCCCATTAAACAATAGAGGACATGAACCAACAAAAAGAAATAGAACAATTTATTTCTAAAATAGACCCTACCAAAACACAGACATATTATACACACTGCTGTTTGCCAATATGAGCAATTATATTGAAGATAATCCCTTAATTTAACAGAAACAGTTGCCCAAAGAAAGGACTTAAACTGAATTGGTTCCATAACATCTCAGAGCCCAAATGCGATCATATGCTTCAAACTCTTTCTGTTCCTCTCCTACCAAACAACCCAAAACACAGTCAAGAGCATGGAGTCCCATATAACTCTGGCTTCTTTCCCCTACCTGGTACTTATCCTTCTCAAAAAGAAGGGAAAATAGTCCCTTGGAATAACCCAGCTTACTTCTATTTCTCTAGACAGTTTTAACCAAAGATTTGAAGTCACAGGGCACACTTTCGAATCCTTCTTACACATTATGCACCATTGAGAGTTTAGGCAAACATTAGGCTAAAGTTGGGCTGTGTTAATAACTTAATATATGCTATACAGCTATGGAGGTGATTTTCTTTGCTCTTTCTGTTTGTCCAATTTTTCATGTGATGCAATAAAATGATGGTGCACGTTTTGTATTGTACCAAGGAAAATTCTTTTATTGGTGAATGTGAATTCTTGATAGTGTATTTCTAGGGTTTGTTTTCTTGAAGGCAAGAACAACTTTTGCTTGTATGACGGGCTTTAATATAATGCATTCCAAAAATACCAGTACCTCATGCTGTGTGATGCAACAAACATGTAAAAGTTCTGCTATCATCTTTCATGTGTATACTACTATACTCAGTATTAATTCTATTGTGCTAGAACCCGTATCTACACACGTGGAGGAGCAAGGGCTAGAATTTCTTCAATTTGCTTTCCGCTGGTTCAACTGTCTTTTAATACGGGAGGTATGATTCTAAAGATCTCTTCTCCATGCCTTTCTGTAGTTTTCCCTATTTGAAAGAGATTCACATATGATGGGCAAAGTCACTCTAACTAATCTTGAGGTTACTGGAGTAACAGAAATTTGGTGCTTTTATCATTTATTGCAAAGCTAATAGAGATTTTTTTTTTTTTTTCCTGTTTAGATTCCTTTTGATCTCGTCACCCGCCTGTGGGATACCTATCTTGCTGAAGGAGATTCATTGCCTGATTTTCTTGTGTATATATTTGCCAGTTTTCTTTTAACGGTAAGACTTCTTGCCTTTGCAAGGATAGTTTCCTTGGTTACTTGTACGGATGTATTCACTGTGAAAAGGAAATGCATCTATCGATTTATTGTCAATTAGCAGTGTGGTTTCTTTGCATTAGGTTAATAGTGGAGAGGTCTAAGGCTAGCATTTTGATTCTCGGCCTTTTGGCTAAGTGCTAGTGTGGTAAGGGAGGCTAGTATGTTACCAGCTTTGGTTATGGAAGAAATCCTGTTGCTTATGCTACTTTTTATTCCTTTCATGAGGTTTTAAAGAAAACTCTGATCTGATTAGCATTTAAGAGATATACAACGTGTTCAAAACTGAAAAATTATACCGTCTACCGCTTCCCATTGACAGAAGTAATGGTTTCATTCTTTCTATTCATTTAAGTGCCATTTTGTGCTTTTTTTTTTCCTTTTGAGTTTCTGTCGTAGTTTAGAATTTGGGAATGGTTGCATATGGGGCAAAAGCGTAAGGCCATGCATGATCTTTTTGGTCATGACTGGAAGGCGGAGGCCAAGGTAGTATTGGCTTTTCTGCTAAATTTTTCCTTGTCCATATTTGCCATTTCTCGAGGGTGTTTCTGCACACACCTTGTGGTCGAGTCAATTTGACCGCAGAGAATCCAAGGGGCCATATCTGTATTCTTTGGCCAATTAGATTCCATATGAAAACTTAATGCCTTTCGTTTATTGCATGTCAACCGAAATTGCTTTTCAGTTTTTATTATGATTATATAAATGAAGTAGAGGTCAATGAGTTACAGACCACTGTTGTTTGATATGCAGTGGTCAGATAAGCTTGTGAAGCTGGAATTCCAAGAGTTGGTTATGTTTCTTCAACACCTTCCGACAGATAACTGGACTCACCAAGACCTAGAGATCGTGCTTTCAAAAGCGTTCGTGTGGCATAGTATGTTCAACAGCTCTCCCAGCCATTTAGCCAGCTAAAACCAATTTGTAATGTTCACTTTGTATCTGCAGCTTTCGAGTTGTCTCCCTTTTTCCTGTCTAATTTCCTTTTCGTTGTGCTTTAATTCGTTTTATACAAGTGTTCTCTTATGGTGGAGGACCATGCTCGTATATGTATCCGGTGTCTCTAATATTTGTATTTTCAAGCATTTCTTTGTCGATACGCCTTTTGATCAATTGAGGAAAAAGAAAATTGATGTATTTCTGTTTACTTTTGATTTATTTCTTAAGGAAGGTGAGGAAATTTGTGGCCTAATATTAACTGTAATTGTTAAAAACTCGGGCTTCAAAGAGTTTGGGTAGAATTAACCGAATCCAGGCTTCAAAACTCGAGGTTATGAACTGGAATCCGACTAACTTGTATCCGAAAACCGACAAGTTCTCAACCAACCAGCGTAAATGGCTTCAAAGTTTTGGTGTAATTTTTCTTCTCGATACAAAGAAGACCGAACAGAGAGGGAGAAGGGAAGGGTCGGAAATCTGACATTGCTGTAGAACCATATACGGTGAACAAGATATGTAAACACAAACTTTACTACTAGGATATTTGCCACAAGCCGTACTAGTTCCACTTTTTTTAAAACAAGGTCCCAGAAGAGGATTACTGAACACCCGCATGTAGAACAGAGACAGAAACAGCGATGTTGAGCCATTTGCTTTTGTTCCTCAGATGTATCCGGCAGCTTTCGGTAACTGGTTATACCGCTGTTAACCAACCCTACATTTGCAGTCCCCTGAGTGAAAAATGTTAAACAAGATTGAGTGATCTCCTCCCCTGCCATGATAAAAGGAGCAGTCAGATTCTTAATAGGTCAAAACTAAAAATACCTTCCCGATAAAATTATGATCCAAATTGATGTGATTTTGTCATTTGATGTGAGTGGTGAGAATTTTAAGGAGAATGAGTTGCCCGAAGATTTTGCTTGTGAGTTGCCGACCAAGTACATGGCCATTCCAGCTGCTGGAAAGTCTATTGCCGTGAAACGCTATGATCAAAACAGACATAGTATTTGGATTATGAGAGAGTATGGGGTGGTGGATCATGGACAAAGAAATTCTCCATTGATACAAATGTCATCCCGAATTTCCGAGTTGTACTGGTTATTGGGTGCAGGGCTGTATGACCATGGAGGGAAGACCGGAGAGGTAGTCTCTCATGATCCTAAGAATACTACAGAAATGAATTTCTAGGAATTCATACAGATCCAGGGTATGCATGCATTGAATATTACACGGAGAGCCTAGGTTTACTCGATAGAGAGGGTTGATGAGCATTCCATGAAAGAGGAAGAAAACAAAGATATCATCGCATATATAATACTGTATAAATCCTTCTTTGCCATTCTGTGTTCAATAAGGCATGTAGACCTTAGGTGATATCCTAAGAGATTACTCAATAAGGTGCTGATGAAATGATAGTGAAGGTGAGAACCCAAAGTTTGAACACTTACATGTTTGCGTTCAACTTCTTCAAAAAATTTCTCAGGAGAATCTACATATTCAGCACAATCTTGCCTGACAGAAGCCGCCCAATCTTCCTCTCCAGCCTTCTCAAGGTTTCTAATCAATATTGTAAACGTTAATTTATCTGGGGCACAGCCTGATGCCTTCATCAATTCATAGGTCTTCATTGCCTTTTCCGTCATGCCCACTTGTATATAAGCTCCAATCATCTCAGTGAATGCCCTTGTGTCAGGTTCTAAGCCTTCTTCCTTCAATCCAGAAAAAAGCTCTTCCGCCATTTCAATCAGTTTGTTCTTCCCCAGCAGTAGGATCATGCTACAGTACAAGGAGAGATCTGGCTTATACCATACTTCCTCCCGCACAAATTTGAAGACCTAAAACCTGAATCCAGTTGAGATAACATAGATAATTGAAAAATACAAAATGCTCAAATATTATCAACTTAGTTAAACATTATGAACAAACTAGGTCACAACTTAGTTAAACAGCTTCCAAATTGGAGTCCGACGTTCAGAAACTGACAAACTAGCCATTACCGAAAGAACAAGGAACCACCAAAAGTTCAGATGGTTAACTGCAAAGGTACAAACTATGAACTGATAACAACATGCCTTTTCAAAATAAATAAAGTTCCCTACTTGGTTGAATGAGAAGGCAGAGTTGACAGCCAAGGACTTGTTTCTATTTCATACTTGAAAACGACTGCTTGGCTGCTATTTCTAAGAAAATCGGAAACTGTCTCTCAGAAACACTTGAGGTCTACCAATGTTCTCCTATATTTCACCCCAAATAAAGTTGTCAAATAAGGACTTGCAAAGCATTTCTCAATTGAGAAGCTCTCTTACATTTAGAATATCGTAGACATAATTCCTTGCAAAGATGCATCCTTAGATAAGGAAACCATACATAATTCATATCCTTATAATTAGACTTGTATTAACAAAATATACTCACAAAAATAAGTGTTCCATTACTTACTATCTGATTAGAAGAACAAAATTCATTGAAATCATAGACTGAAAATACACTTATCAGTGTGAACAAATCCATTTGTGGTCCTAATTTCCTCAAATTTCATTTCATTTGCGCGGAGAGAACTCTATTACTTAGTTCCCAGATACAAATGCAGAAAGAATATCGAACCTACTCTCACGCATCACGCTATTATATACAGGGTCCCTTTGGAATTGCTTCTGGAAGTGTTCCAACAACCAAAAAGAGCTTATGGAAGAAAAAGCTGAAAGTGCTACTGGATCATAAACGCAGCTTCAGAAGAAACACCTGCCAGATGCTTTAGATGCTTCTTCAAAAAACACATTGGATTCTTAATAAAATGATCAAGGTGTTTCAAATTGTATAACTTCCAGAGTAACTGCTTTTAAGCATAAGTGCTTTCTAAATAAACAGTCCCAAAAGAGTCTAAATTTGTTCACGTCCACCACTATTACTATTGAAGAAAAATTAGGCCTACCATTTTCATCTCGAAATTTTGTAAATGTAATGCAAGAGAAGAAAAGAAAAGAAGATAGAGAGAGAGAGAGAGAGAGAGAGAGAGAGAGATGAGAAACCTTGAGTGCTAATTGGACTTCATTTTGTCTGTGCAACTCAGCCAAAGCGTCCAACAAGTCAGCTTTCAAGAGCCTGGAGAGTCTTGCATCAAAAACCTCCTCGAGTTTCGATGGGGTTGATTTGGCAAGCTTCAGAGACTGAACTGCCTGAATGGCTTCTGTGGAGAGCACCCTTGACTTCCATAGAGGCTTTCTCGGTCCCCCTCTCAGGCCGCCACAGACGGTGGTGAATTTTGGGGAAGAAGAAGAAGGTGTTGCGGATAAATAGCGCAGGTGGTTGAGTTCTGGGTGATCTTGTTTCAAACCCTGTTGAGGAAGGTGGAATTTCATACAACCCAACAAACCCATCACAGCAGATTTCATGAATGCTGTTGGATGTGGATTGTGGAGTGAGGTTTCGGAAGATTAAAAAGAGAGAAAATGGTAAAAATGGTTTATCAATTTTAAGCTAATTATAACAATGGTGTTTTAACTAAGAATTCATAATTAATGGCCTTTAACGCATCAAAACATATGACTACCGTTATTTTTTGTCAATTTCATCAAAATTTCATAAAAAAAAGTCATATTGAAAGAATTATTGATACAATTAAGTTAAGTTAGAAACCATTACTCTAATTAGATTAAATTTGAGGAACTATTGTTCTAATTAGGTTAAAATTAAGAGATCATTTCATCAATTAGTTTAAAGTTTAGGATCATTGCTATAATTTTTTTTTATTTGGCTTTCCATATTTTTCCTACGTGACTCGTTTTGACAGAAGTTTTAACAAAATTGACAAAAAAGACACGTTTTAATAAATCAAGGAATCAATGATCACGGATTTTACCTAATGTTAAAAGATATTATTCTAAATTGAGTTAAATTAAAGGACAAAGTTTACAATTTCCTTAAAAAAAAAACATCTTTCTTTTCGAAAAATTCGATTCAAAGTTTTGTTGTATCAAGCGTGTGAAACTCAAGGCACAGGCAGTCAGTCGCACGGAACACAATAGAGTGAAAGAGGATGGGAATCTCGGCCTCAAAGCGAGTCAAATCCTCGCTATCCAACTCGCCCGCCTTCGACTCGGCCTGCGACTCGGCCTTCACTCACTGCCTCTCCCTAACGGAGCACGCTTTCGACGGCGTCTTCCCCTACCAGCTCCCCACAGCGTCCGACCACCTCCACAAAACCCTCCACACCCTCCACCCGCACCCTCTCATCCTCAACTGGGTCCCATCTCCCCCGACCCGCTCCCTTGTCGACTCCGCCCTCAAGGCCGTCACTCGTCCCGACCACGCCCAAACTCTTGGGCCGGCCCAGTTCAAGCAGGTGGGCAGTGGAGCTCTTCGCCGGCGCTATCGTCGAGAATGCAGGGAAGGCCGTGATGTTTCGAGTTCCGATCGGCATCGCCGGGATTGCTGGGATTGGGGCTGCGACTCGGTCCGGTAAAGACTTGGTTGGGGCCGTGATTGGCGTCTACTCACTCGGGGTTGCGACTTCGATCTTCCTGAGTTTGTCTGGATAGGATACTTCTGTAGATGAAATTGTAAAACTGAAATAATGGAATGCAATGGAATTGTCGATGCTAAATATTTTTCTTTCTAAATTCTCGTTCCTTAAGCAATTATTGGCATGATTTGTGTATAATCCGAGCAGCTTCATCAACCATCAATACTTTGAGCGGTTTCATTCCTTCTGTGTAGCTCGAAAATGCACATGTACCGTTATTCTAATCGATGTTTCCACCTGCACAAAGCGCCGTGATTATCAATCGCTCATCGTTCCCAAATAGAATTTTATCTCCAATCTCGTGCTTGCTATAATCTCAGCACGCGTGCTGTTACTTCTAACGCGGTTGGAGCGCGTGTTAATGTTCTGCGCTTGAATTTAACTGGGGCAAAGAGTGACCGACCGATCACTGTCTTCGTTTTATCAGCCCCATATTTGTTTTATGGTGTTACGGAGATTGCATTTACTTAAACTGATACAGTTTGAAACTGCAGCTTCTTGGGAATCATTTAGATCGGAGCACATTGCCGGAAATGTACCAGACAGGTAGCATTTTTCGTTGTCAAAGTAAATTGAACTAGATTTCCTACCCTGTAAGAAACACAGACAAACTGGATTAGTAAGTTAAAGCATGAAGACGGCTTCCACACACGAACAGTTGTTGTCAGGTTCACAAGATAGACCGCACAGGGCGTATCTCTCTTGCTCGTAATTTGCATGTATCCAACTCTATCGATAAGCTTTGACGAGCGTATTGAGAGATTATTGCCTCTACTCCGATGAACATATGCAACAAGATACGAATTTCTGGGCCTGTTGAAACGATCAACGCATTTTGGTTTAGTATCAGTCAAGGCAATGAGATCTCCGACCTGTGGCATATATGTTCCTACCATAGTTGCCGGATACGGTGAAAGTGCATCCGAGTTCCTCAACAGGTGGAGGAATGAAAGACTTGTAACTCGTCACGGTTGAAAGAGCATCCGAGTTCCTCAACAGGTAGACACACGGTACAAATTAACCTGATTTTGGTGAAGATGTGGATTGAGAACATCCTCAAGTGACCAAGAGAACACGACATTGATTAAGCCTCGACCTGCTGTAACTTCATAATTGTTCAACTCGCTAGTCTCCTCCTGACGATCCATTACGTTACGTATAGACTGATCGATCCATTACGTACAAATAATATCTCAATTCTAACCAATGTTTCACTTAAGGAAAAAAAAAAAAAAAACATTTAGACCATTTCTCGATTTATTTCTGTTGGCCAATTGCGTTTTCTTAGGAAATAAGAATATAAAGTTATAAGATGATTTTATAGAAATGTCTTATTTTCAGTGTATTGAGATCTATAAAATTATATTCAAAACAAAAAGTCTAACAGAAAAGAATATATTGAAGGAATATGCTGAAAGAATATGCTGGACAACTAAAGAACAAAATGGGTCAGTTTAAAGAGAAACAAATAACAAAGAAAACGAAAAATCAGCCAAAAAAAAACTCCAAACAAGGCTGTCTTCTTCATCTTCTTCAAAATGCACCGGCTCTACAACTAAAAAACTTTCAGATTTCAAATGAAAAAATTTCACATTTCGGCAACTTTTAAACAGTAAGGATGCTTAGTTGAATGCCTCAGGCAAATCTAAGTTTAACCTAATCCCGTTGGGCAGAGGCGTTTTCATGATCCCCCCCCCCCTCCCCGCCTCCAAAGCCGCTTACGTGCATCTTAAGGCGCGTTTTTTAAAACACTGATTCTAACCAATGTTTCCATCCACTCAAAGGGGAAAAACACTTGGTCAGAATACTAATACGGCTATACTGTAAATCTTCATTCGCTCACCCTTCCCAAATAGATTATGTATCCCAAGCCCATACTTGATTGTCATACTAAAGAGACTGGTTAACCAATCTCACGAGTAATTGCGCTGTGTAGCTTCTAACACAGCCATATTGCTTGGGGCACATGTTAGCGTTCTGCACTGCAACTTATAGAGGGCAAAGAGTGAGATGTCGACTGTCTTCGTTTTCCCAAAACACATTGGGTTGAGCAGATTGACCCAAAACGATATTTTTTATTTTAATACAAACGATATTTCTATTTTAAACTTATGGAAAGGGATGGGTTTTAAACCAAAACGCATTGGGTTGAGCAGATTGACCCTAATCACCAAAACAATCCAACTTGCAAATCACTTCCTTTAGCCACCTTTCCGCATTCATGTGCATGTGCAGGACAGGACTCAGGAGTGCATACAACACCAAACAATAACATCACTGCAAACTTATCAACTCGTACATAAGCATAACATCAAAATTCCGAAAACACAGAAAGTGAGAGGAAGAGGCAAAGAAAACCTTAAACAGAAAATCCAAAGCACAACCATTACATTCTCAGAATAAACCGTATCAGAAACGGTGCTTAAATCCATCTTTAGGTACTCAAACGCCAACGAGAAAACATCACTTCATACAATAAGAGTGCCAGCCATAGGCATTAATAATATCAAGGAACAAATTGTGTTTCAAAAGATACTTGGATTCACCCAAAGATCAAGAAGTTTCACTTTCGGTGCTCATCCAGTTCTCTTGATGATATGGACACCACTATCTGTATCCACAATGTCACTCATCTCACCAACCTTGAGAGCAAATGTTGCTTCTTCAAAAGGCTTCTGCATCTGGTTCCGACCAAAGGGACCTGCAACCACAATTTGACATACATTTCAACAATGCCCGTACCATATAATTATTAACGGAATCTTATTTATGATGAGGCGTTATTGTCAAGTTATATTCACTAACACAAACTCATCAAAACAAGGTTCATTTGAGGAATCAAAGTCAAACTTCTCATGCAAATATAGACATTTTTGGGAATTAATCCCCTTCCATTCTAAGCAAGTCACCTAGGAGAGAAAGGAAATATCACTAGTACAAACCCACATTTATGTTACTTGAAAAAAAAATATTTCACTTTTAATCGATTTCTAATTAAGTGAATGACATTTATTTGCTGAAGTTGAAGTTAAAACAATAAATAATTTAACAAAAACATATACTAAAATGTTGGGTAATTCTAACAAGCTTGCACAAATCTGTGCGAAGGCAGAAGGCTTTTGGGGGAGGAAAAAATTCAATGGAACCCGGAGGGATGGGAATTTTTTTGGGTGTTCCGGTTGGAAAGAGTACTTGGACTTGTGATGACTTTAAAGTGGAGACATGGAAGTTTCATGGGGTAACACAAGTTTTTGTACGGTTACTTAGGGCTTTGTTTCTTCGGAGTTTTGGGTCAATTTTAAGCTAGAAAGCTGTTCGGACCTAGATAAGTTGTTGGATAGCTAAAGCTTTTTATTGCAATTATTTGTGGCCAATCAAATTATGCTTGTTAAATAACAATTGTAACTACTTTGGCAAATCAAATTACGCTTCTTTCCAAATAAGAAAATCGAATAAACAAAAGCAGCTCGTATTTCAGATATGAAATGCTACAATTTTTCTGTTTTGGACTTTCAATATGTTGATTCCCTTATCTGGGGTACTTTCTAAGGTCAAAACACAAATGCGGACATAAACCCTAATTATGAACTTCGTGAAGTTAAGTGCTAACCGAGATCGCCACCACGTTTGGCAGAGCTGCAATCAGAGTAGCGAGCGGCAAGATCATCAAACTTGGCCTTTCCAGAAAGGATGTCATCGCGGAGAGCCTTGAGTTGAGAGACGGCAGAGTCTCGGGTGGTGTTCCTGATGATCCGCCCTTCAGGATCCTTCCACGATGCCTTTCTTCTCGAACCCTGGTGCTTGATGAGTATATGGGACGCCCTCACCTGATTCCCCTCTGACGAGGACATTTTTGTCCTTTTGGTCTTTCGAGCAGCCTGCCTTTTTTCTTTGTCCTTGTCCGTGTGATCTGATGCACAGATCAAAGGAGCTGCTTTCTTACGCTTATGCCCGGACGAATCTATCTTTGCAGCTCAAACACACAATTTTGATAATGTTTGCTTACCTGTAGTCTGCATAAGGACATTTTACCGAGAATTATTAGCTTCTTCCATTTCAAGTAAAATTATATTTTCTCACTGGTATGAAACAACATTGAAAGCAGAGCTCGAACAACATTTGACAGGTTTGACATGTCACGCGTTTAACAGTGTCAATTTTCCCCGCAGCTATTCAAATCAGTTGTTAATAGTTATCAATACCAGAGCTCAAATAAAGTTTGATTCTTTCTACTGCACAAAGGCACTTCACCCATAAAATTCTAAATCGAAAGATATCAGGAAACCGAAAAACCAATGTTTGAATTCATCCCTATCCTTCCCCTTAAAACCTACATTACCTCATGGACATGAACCCTAAAATTAAAGGATACACAGAACAAAAAACAATGTTGCAATCAGTCCTTGCCCATCATTCAAAATTCAAATACGAGTTTCACTGTTGCTTGCTATCATACTAGCAATAAAAAAAATACATGTTGAAACAAGAAATTCAGTAAATTTCCGATATTTATACGCATAATCTAAAGTTAACAATAAACAATCACAAAAGTAACAACAATTATCCGCAAAAAATTAAAGCTATTAATTTATAAACCCAGAAACCAAATCACAGCAGGAAACGCTCATAGTAAAGAGATTTCAGCAGTCACAGAAACTAGAAGAAAAAAAATCATCACGAAATCCAAAGCTACCGACAGACCTGCAACGAAGCAATCCAACGGCGGGTGTAGTGAAAGACCTGAGAGCGGGGGATCGGGCTGTGGGGAAGGGGATGGCAAGATAAAGATGCGAGGTGAGAAACTGAGAGACAGAGAGGACGGCGACGGAAGAAGAAGAGATGGAATGGGTTGTGGGAGAGCGACTGTGCGAGGGCAACTCAATATATAAATAAATAAATACACACATTTCTTACTTTACAATCAACGAATAAGATGCGAAGATGGGATGAGGTCCAAATCCGACTCCGCTCTATTATTTTTGTTTTAGATTTTGGCAAATTCATATTTATGTTCACATGGGAGTACACATACTTAAATTCTTAAAACTCAAATTTTGTTATAAATAAGTAAAAGTGAGAGAAATAACATTTATAAGAGCATGAGCGAAGCAGGTGCAAAATATTATATTATAACTTTAGTAGCTATAACACAAAAATGATGACAGATAAAGAGAGGGAAGGATACTGATATTATTTCTCTTAATTTTTTTTGCAGTGCATTTGATAACAGACGGAGTGCTATAATTATAAAGAGACTCTCGTAACTACAACCATCCACAAAGCAATGATGATACTTTTGAAAGTATTAAACATTTTGCCTAGGTCTTGTTCCTTTTGAGTGGACATTCGTTCATCCATCAATCCATTAATTTTACAACATTCCTTCTTGGATGTCCACATATCAACATCAATTACCTCATTAAAAACCTTGCTTGGAAAAATCAAGTGGAAAAAAACCATAGTGAAGGAAAAAAGTACAACTTTACATGAATTGTTGATATAATGTTAAGTACGCTTATGTTGCCTTATTAAAACCTTGATAGGAAAAATCCAGTGAGAAAAATCCTAGTCGAAGGAAAAAGAGTACAACAAGCATGTATAATGGATGCTCTCCCTGATTCCGCATTCTTCAAATTTAGCTGATTGGTAAGTCGACGTAATCCGATACTCTGCACTAACTTCTTAAACGTGCACTTCGGTAGAGATTTGGTGAACAGATCTGCCAGATTTTCATTGGAGCGGATTTGTCTGACTTCAATAACTTTAGCCTTCTGAAGCTCCTGTGCACTGAAAATTTTTGGAGATATGTGTTTAGTCTTATCGCCCTTAATGAATCATTCATTCATTTGGACAACACATGATACATTATCTTTATGGATGACAGTTGGATTGTTTGTCTTCGAAGGTAGACCACATGAATTCCGGATATGATGGATCATTGATCTTAACCAAGAACATTCATGACTTGCTTCATGGAAAGCAAATATTTTTGAGTGATTTGAAGATGTAGCAACTAATGTTTGCTTTGTTGAGTGCCATGAGATTGATGTATCTCCATTAGTGAACATATATTCAGTTTGTGAACGGGTTTTATGCGAATCAGAGAGGAAACCAGCATTTGCATATCCAGTAAGGATCTGGTCATTTGTGGATTTTCCTGAGTAAAAGAAATCCATGTATGTTGTCCCACGAAGGTATCGCAAAACATCTTTAACTCCTTCCAATGAAGAATTGTTGAAGCAGAGCTATACCTTACTAACAAGTTAATTGAAAAAACTATATTTGGTCTAGTACATTGCGCTAAATACAAGCACTTATTGCACTCAGATATGGTACTTCTGGACCAAGGACCATTTCATCATCTTCTTTTGGACGGAATGGATCTTTTTTTAATGTCCAAATAATGAACGATCATTGGCGTACTGAGTGGATAAGCTTTGTCCATGCAAAATCGTTTTAGGATTTTTCAATGTAAGCTGATTGGTGGATCAAAATTTCATTAGCACAATACTCGATCTGCAGACCGAGACAATATTTTGTTTTCCCGAGGTTTTTCATTTCAAATTCACTTTTCAAATATTCAACAGTTTTATTGAGCTCTTCAGAAGTTCCAACTAGGTTCATATCATCAACATTTATTGCCATTATAGCAAATCCAGAATTGGATTTCTTAATGAACACACAAGGGCAAATGACATTGTTGATATATCTTTCTTTGATCAAATATTCACTGAGACGATTATACCACATTCGTCCAGATTGTTTCAACCTATACAATGATCATCTTAATTTGATCGAAAGCATACATTGTGGTTTGATAGTTGTTTCAGGCAACTTAAGTCCTTCTAGGACCTTCATGTATATGTTAGTATCTAATTCTCTATATAGATACGCAGTGATGACATCCATAAGTCGCATGTCAAGCTTTTCTGAAACCACTAAACTTAATAACGGAACGTAATTGCTTCAATTACAGGAGAATATGTCTCCTCATAATCAATTCCAGGTATTTGTCAAAAGCTTTGTGCAACGAGTCGTGCTTTGTATTTTGCTATATCATTTTTCTCATTGCATTTTCTTATGAATACCCATTTGTAACCCACGTGATTTACATCAAGCGGAGTTTGGACTACTGGTCCAAAACACTTCGTCTTTCAAAGGAATTTAATTCTACCTATATTGCATCTTTCCACTTAGGCCAATCTTGTCTCTATTTGCATTCATCAACAGAGCGAGGCTCAATATCATCACTTAATATGATTTCACTACGAATGCGAACATATCATCGATGATTATTTCATTCTGATCTCACAATTCATTTGTACATACATAATTTATAGAGATTTCTTTGCTTTCATGTACTGTTATTTCTTTAGAGACATGTGTCCCATCAAGTACATTTTCTTTTTCTAGAAGTACATAATCTTGAATTGTGGATTTTTCATTCATTTTCTCTTCCTGAATGATTTCATTTGGATTTAGCTATGCCCTTGTCTTTCTCTTTCAAGGGGCTGAATCTTTTGAACATGGGGGTCTACCATGCTTCAAGCGTGCACCAGATGAATCATTCGTTGCCATTTTATTTTGTCCACCAGGGACATCAATTCTTGCAGGTGCATTTGCAGCTGGTATATGTGATTTTGTCACTTTCATAGCATCATTAAATGCATCTAGCATTTGATTGGCAATACTTTGAAGATGAACGATCTTTTTCACTTCATTTTCACATTAAGTACTACGTGGATCAAAATAAGACAATGTGGGTACAACCTATGTCAACTCTTGTCATTCTTCTGAAACGATCTTTTCTTCCCCTAACGACGGGAAAACTATCTCATCAAAGTAACAATCAGCAAAACGAACTGTAAACATATCACCTGTCAGGGGTTTCAAATATATAATGATAGATGGTGAATCAAAACCCACATAAATTCTCAGTCTACGCTGAGGTCCCATTTTAGTGTGTTGCGGTGGTGCAATAGGTACATATACAGCACAACCAAAAACTCGTAAATGTAAAATGTTTCGATGATGTCCAAACACGAGTTGTACTAAGGAGTATTGGTGGTTGGCTATAAGTCTCAATTGAACCAATGATGCAGCATGTAGGATGGTATGTCCCCATGAAGAAACTGACAATTTTGTTTTCATGAGCAGAGTGCGAGCTATTAACTGAAGTCGCTTGATCAATGCTTCTGCTAAACCATTTTGAGTATAAACATGAGGAACAGGGTGTTCAACATCAATGCCCAATGTCATGCAGTAATCATCAAAGGTTTGAGATGTAAATTCACCAGCGTTAACAAGTCGAATTGACTTAATGGGGTAATCTGGGAACTGTGCTCGCAACTTGATTATCTGAGCAAGAAGTCTCGCAAAAACTACATTCTGAATAAATAAGAGACAAACATGTGACCATCGGGTAGATGTATCAACTAAAACCATAAAATATCGCAATGGTCCACAAGATGGTTGAATAGATCCACAAATATCCCCTTGAATTCTTAGAAAAAATGATGGAGATTCAGCATCAACCTTTAGTTGTGATGGTCTAATTACCAACTTCCCTTGAGAACAAGCCTTGCAAGGGTTATCATTTGAGATAGCAATGTCTCTGCTCAATAATGGATGTCCATTAGAGTTGGTAATGATCCTACGCATCATGGTAGATCCTGAATGACCCAAATGCTCATGTCAAAACATGTAGTTTTTTGAATCAATGAACTTCTGGTTCATGACAGCATGTGATTTAATTGTCCTTATGTATGTATAATACAATACACTTGACAAACCATGCAACTTCTCCAATATACGCTTCTGAGTATCATTGAAGGTAATGCATAAATACTCCACATTTTCTGCAATTTTCATTTCAATGTGGTATTCATTTAAACGTATGTTTTTGAAACTCAACAAATTTCGAGCAAATCGAGTAGCATACAATGCATTCTATATGGACAATATTGTTTCATTTGGTAACATAATATGGGTTTTCCCTGAGCCTTCAATTACATCTGATTGACCTGATATTGTTGCTACCCTTACTATTGTAAGCATCAAGCTTGAGAAATACTTTCGATCACGAAGTATTGTATGTGTGGTTACGCTGTCTGCAAGACAAATATCTCCGCTTCTCATGTTTTGAGAATAATCATAACTTTTATCCATGCTTTATGAGTAAAAGGAATCACGATTAAAAACAACTTAGAAATTCAAATGCCTCTTTTATTGAAATGCGAGTTTTTAAACTACAAGTTCAGAATAATAAAAGTACATCAAATATAAATGATTCAGTCGGATGGATACACTTCATTCCTCATTTTCACAATGAAGTCCGAGACATTTAGGTAGGTTGTGTTCAACTGTCCTGATAAGTCGCACACTGGATTAGGTTTATCCATTGGTTTAGCCTGGTCGAGGAAATTAGTCTCGACACCCTTCTTCTTAAGGGAAGCTTGATATAGATCCACTAAATATTTTGGGGTACAACAGGTACGCGCCCAATGCACATCGCCATCATACCTATGGCAGGCTCCATCAGAGTTTCTAGAAGTATCGTTCATACGAGCTTTGCCTTTATGACGATTTCCATTTTTAAGGCTCGGGCCTGAATTTTACCTTGGAATCTGGTTGTGAAACTGACTACCATATTCTTACCTTTCCTGCTCCATCGGCCTTGCTTATGGCCACGTCTTCATTTATGACTATCGCTACCAGAGGATGTAGGCATTCACTTCTGGGAATGATGCAGATCCAGTAGGTTGAGACTGATGATTTTTCATCAGGAGCTCATTGTTTTGTTCAGCTACCAAAAACACAGATATCAGCTAGTTGTATTCAGCGAAGCCTCGTGCTCTATATTGCTGCTGCAGGAGCACGTTAGAGGTATGAAATGTGCTACAAGTCTTTTCCAGCATATCTTCCTCAGTAATGGTATCCCCACGGAGCTTCATCTGAGAGGTAATTCTGAACAATGCAAAATTGTACTCAGCCATTGACTTGAAATCCTAGATCTTTAGGTGAGTCCATTCATAGCTCTTGGAAGAATCACTGTTGTCTGGTGATTGTATCTGTTTCTCAATGTCTTCCAAAGAGCTAACGGACCTTCTACCGTTAAGCACTCGCTCTTTAGTCTCTCATCAAGATGACGACAAATAAAGATCATGGCCTTTACCCGATCTTTAGAGGATAAGGTGTTTTCTTCCCTAATGGTATCTCCAAGATTCCTCGATCCTAGATGGATTTTGGTATCCAGCACCCAGGTAAGGTAATTATTCCCAGTAATGTCCAAGGCAGCAAAATCAAGCTTTGCCAAGTTCGTCGTTTTTTTTTCTTTCTGAAAGAAAAGTGAAATGCGTAAGAACTTGCAATAATATGTATTCCAGGAGGAATATAGTGTTAGAACTTCTGGTTTTTACAAATTTTTCATTTTGATCTTCAGGTAAAAAATGATAAGCACTCAAAACTTCAGGCTCGAGATTTTGATGATTAATGAGAATGACGATTGTACCGCACCATTCTCATTGAAACAAGCATAGGATGAGCAATTATTCCACACCACTTGAACAACAGGAAAATTTAAATATGTAGAGAAGTTTAAATATGCAGGGCATGGTATGCGATTATACCGCACCGCCTAAAATTGCGATAAAATTATGCAAAGCAAGATATAATCGATTTGAATATGCAGAGTAAGATGGACGATTATACCACACCACCTAAATTTTACAGTAAAATTAAATCTGCAGCTCAAGATGGACGATTGTACCGCACCATCTTTGATTACAGTAAAATTAACATAAATAAACACTGGATTAGAAACCAGGTACTGCACCAAACAAGAAATCAAAGATATAAGTAACTGTTAAATTTAGAACGAGAAGCAAACATGAGGTTAGCAGTTCATGGCGAGGGTGCATCACACAAATGAAGCAGAAGAAGAAGAAAAACAAGAAAAACCTTAAAGGAAGCATTTTTTTTTTCTTTCGGTGAAGGGAGATGTGAACTATTTAAGGTTAGAAAGTCATGCTGATAACGTGTTATAAATAGACAAAAATTAGAGAGATAACCTTTCTAAGGACAAGAGCAAAGTAGGTGCAAAATATCACACTATAAATTTAGTAGCTATAACATAAAAAGAATGATAGATAAAGAGAGGGAGGGATACTGATATTATTTCTCTTACTTTCTTTTGCAGTTCATTTGATAACAGACGGAGTGCTCTATTTATATAGAAACTCCCGTAACTACAACCATCCACAAAACAATGATGATACTTTTGAAAGTATCAAACACTATTCCTAAGTCTTGTTCTTTTTGAGTGGGCATTCATTCATACATCAATCCATCAATTTTACAACAAATTTGGGCTTTTTTTTTCAAATGTAAATTTCATTATTAAGAGAGCACAAGTACATATATGGAGGCCTAAATACATTTCAAAGCACAAAAAAAAAAATAAACCCTCAAGGCAACACAACACGAGAGTCCAACCCAAGCTAAGAGCCCAAAATAGAGAAAAACTGGCTTCCTCTGCCGTCGTCGAAGCACCTATTGCCGACCACAAATCAGCACCCCACGCCGGAGATCTCACCAAACACATGCCCCTAATCGGAAAAGAAGAAGACTCCATCTTCCTCCTCCAAACACCATAAAAATTGAATCCACAACCACCAAAGAAAATAAGCCAATTGGAAAATACTTTCTCGTAGCAACGAAGCCAAAAACGGTGCATTTGGAAGGTGGTAGTGTGTACACCCGAACCGTAGCTCTAAACACCTTCCTAGAAAGCAATGAAACGCGGGTGGAAGATATGGTCGCAAATCCGAAGATTTGTGAGAACAATGGAGGACGGAAGTGAACGGAATAGTTAGAAGATTGATGGATTAGAGTCATGGAGGTGGAAAAAGTGGAGGGAGAAGAAAATTGAAGTTGGCATTAAGGCCGATGAAAGGCTTACAGGTCAGAAAACATGGAGAAAACCAAGCGTACAGAGAAGTGAAAAAAGGCAAAAGAGAAGAAAAATGGATGCCACCAACTCTGGCCACTCCTAGGGCCGGGAATTGAAAGAGCTGACGAAATTAGGAGCACTCACACACCAATGAAAAAACCCCTCACTCAAAGAGGTGGTCTCACGCAGAGCCTCAAAATTAAAACTCCAAATTCTCCCACCATTATTTTTTGGACCAAACTATAAAGGTCTAGGATTTGAATCTTTACGTTGGAGATGCTCTTAATTCTGCCAAAATGTGTGGACAATGTAAAAAACCTAATAAGTATTTATCTCACAAGTCTTTTTTATTTGGTTGTCTCACAACCCAAAGCCATCAAAGAATATTAGTATATTACCCTTCAGAATTCAAATGCATTTCCCTTGGCGACCAACAAGCCTGAAAAACTAGATATAACCAGCCCTAACGTAATGACATTGACAGAAGCATATTACATCAATGAACTCAATTGGATTGTCTATTCTAAAGCTTGGGATTCTCAGCAACTAAGGTTGAACATGGACGGGCAGAGATCGATAGAGGGCGTGTTTGTCTAAAGTTCTAATCCGACGACCAGCTACAGGTCTCTCAAAATGGGCCATCCCTTTTTAATAATTTCATTGATTTTTGCATCAATCTGTCTCTGGATTTTCGGAGGGCAAAGCTCTGCAGCATATCCATTCAGTTTTGCAGCCAAATTTGACCTCTCAAGTTCCTCTTCTGGCAAGTTTCCAATTAACTGGAGAAGAAATGGCCTACGTTTCAGCTCAAACTTCTGCATTTTAAAATCAAATCAGCCACGGTGAATCTGAGTTGTTTGTATAAAAGTGATTAAGCAACCCCTGTTTTCTCCAAGTCGAGCACAGAGTTCATTTATACCATACCAAATTCTAATTTATGGCTTACTATGCTATTATCTCTTTTTTCACAGCTCAAAAGAGCTCCATTTCAAAAGACGCTCTAAAACTTCAGAAATATGAGTGAGGACCAAGAAAGTTTTACAATACAAAGATCTGACCCCAAAATGTCCTGTTAAAGATTGAGGAGAAGAAGAAAAGGATATTGAGTTGTACCTGATGTTCAGGCTCGGCAGGATAAAACGATCCCAGAGGTAGGATTTTAGTAGTTACACTGCTACTTTTTGACTTAGTTTGCTCTCTATCTTTGCTTGTAGCGGCCAATCTGGACTCTTCAGTTCCATTCGTAAAAATGATAGATCTGTTTACATATGATAAAATCTCACTATGAGTGGTGACTGCAAGTGATGAGTAGATGTTATGCAAGAAAGAGTTGTTTGCTGTCCCAACTTTTACCTGTATTGGTTACCCACATCAGGACCTTGCCCAAATACTTGCCTATAATCATGACTGGACCAGAAAACCTCCAAAAGTTGCTTGAAGCTAATTCGCCTGTGATCATATACAACCTGCACAGCATTTAAAGGATTACACAAGTCACAATCATTCAAACAGAACAAATCAGCCTGAGTTAAAGATGATGAAGTATATGAAACCGACTTAGTAAAAATTGCATATTTGTAATCAAACTAAACTTTCGCATACAAGCCTCATTCAATTCTATACTAAAAAAGAAAAGCAAATTGTAGGGATTCACCTTCTCTAATTTTTTCGCCAGGAAGCCAAATAACGATAATTATCCTATTTGGTCTAAATCTTGACAAGAAATAAAACAGACACCACTTATAGATAATTTTCTCCAATTTGAGCTTAATTAAACCCACCTTTGAATTGAGCCAAAAAGAAAAAAATAAAGGAAAAAAATAAAATCATTCATGTAAATCTAAAACCAATAGACAAATGGAAGACCAACCTGGATAGATTCGGCATGATCACCCAAGCTTCTGTACTCAGGGTTGGTTTTGGATCCGCCAGCATAACCAACAGTCGTCTGTACAACTCCATTCAAGCACCCAAAGACAGCTTCGGATCTCCAAAAGCTTCCCAGAGCGAAAACTGCTGTTTTCAGGGACTGGTTGTCAGGTAGGTCTCTTGTGGTTTCAGTGATCCGATCTGGGATCCTGATGGACACGCGTCTCTCGGCCGTAAGAATTGTCAGGAGCACAAATGTTGTCAATAGACGGCTAAGGGAAATGCTGCTGTGAAGAAAAGCCATTGGCTTTGTCTTAGACAAGGTCTGAAAGAAAAGGGCATAAGACTTCCTCTGTTTGGTAAAATTTCCAAGATGTTATGAAACGAAAGCAAATAAAGAGAAATACAATATAATATAGAGAATTGATGTCATATCAATAATGCCCTATTTTTCCAAGTTACAGTGTTTTTATTGGATAACTGAAAATTCATTAGCTCCTAAAATTGATCAAGTTCAAAGGCCCAACCCAGAATAATCCTCTTCTCATTTCAGCTGATTGTATCTGGAAAACAATACAGTATTATGCCAGACCTTTGATCAACCATCTTTTGAAACTCAAATGACCTGAATCAAAAGAAAATGACGATTGCGTGCCAACGTGACACTGACCAGATGCCTCCAATCTTTTATCAAAACTAGACAAGATGACCGCAAATAGTTCTTTGAAAAACCTAAAAGTAAAGAAATTGAATACGTATTGTCTATGGATGGTTGTCACCATGACAAGTGTTGGACCATATGCCAAAAAGTTTGCTAATACGTCATCCATTTTACAATGGCTTTGTTCTTAAACATGTCCTACATGTAGCCCAGGCATGGTATTCCTAATTATAGCTCGGTCATGTTAAACTAGAACATGCACTTGAATAGAAGCTTGGGCTATAGAGTAGGCTTGTGTGCAAAACGCTCAATGCACAGCACTCCAATGTAGCAGCTTTTTAGCTTGTGCCTATATCAGCATGCATGGGGCATTTAGCGTGTGACGAGAATTGCATGCTTAGGTTGTAGCTCAGGCATGCACCAAACATGACCTGACCGAGTTACAATCTGGGCCTGTCTTTGATCTAAACTACTTGGCCTGGAGAAGAAAACTCCTGATAGCACACGTAGTCCTATAAGGCTATAACCAAAACATACTTTTGATCTTCTATGCATCATCTCTTTTATTCTGAGTCCACTCATCCAAGCATGACAATTGCTGAACTTCCTACATCTTCCTCAATTCCATCCATGAGCACACCACATATTGAGGCAATCTAGACAAATGACGAGTAAGCATCTTCAACCCTAGAATCTAACACCTTGTAACTTATTCTAGTGTAATTTTTCCGAGGCGTATTTTTATACCAGTGTCATTGATCGTTTAAACCGTAATCAGGCATTGCCTACCCCAACACGCATAAGAAAAGAAAATGCAACCATATCCAAACCCATCGTAATTTCTAACCAATAAGATTCTAACAAAAACAAAAATCTAACCTTGCCTATTCAAATTCACTTTTTAATGAAAACCATGAACTCAAAACTAGCAGACGCATCACTTCAAAATGGTTATTAGATCCAATCCTAATTCCAAACAGAAATCCAAATTCAAGTTGATGTAACAATTTGTATAATTACACATATATTTCATATGAAATCACTCGATCTCATGGGTATGAATCCAATGTGGCGCATTGCTATGTTAACGGTATGATTGCCACCACAATTCATACAAATGATCATCAGATCTAAACAAAGCCCATTACAAATTGAAATTAAGCATTGCATTGCACCAATTTTAGGAGATTTAGATGCGTGATTCAATAATTCCGAGCTTGATCGATCCCAAAAGTTTCAGCAATCATTAAATTTTCAAGAAATCCGAGGCTTACCTGCAAACCGGCAAGGAAGGAATCCAACGGCGATTGAAAAGTGAAAGACCTGTCGGTCGGATGAGAGAGGGAAAGGGGATGATTGAGCTTCAAAACATGTATTTAATGGGTGAAAAGGGATGGTATGAAAGACTGAGAAGGGGAAGGAAGAGAGCACTAATGGCGCTGTGATGGGGAACGAATGCAATTACACATTAAAAAATCTGGATTTTTGGGTAAAAAAATTAGAGCCGGATGGGAAGTGGGAAAATTGTGGGGCTTCCTCATCAAATATGGTTAGTAACGTTTACATCGGTGTCGGAGGTTAACTGAATTTTGTATGATGTAAATGTTAATGACCGACAATCTGAGTCAATCGGCCGGTGAATCTGACTTCAGATTTTTATTTTTGAGTTCAATAAATAATAAGAAGATAGTTAAAAGAGATCACCACTGATCATTTAACAAAAACCTACGATACTGTTTATTTTAACGAAAAATCATATTTTTACACTAAAATATCGATCTTGTACAATTCACTTTACCCTTTGTTTTGTCATTATCATTAAAACTCAAAATTTTCAAACCATTTTCATTAGTTTTCCTAAAACATAAAGAAAAAAATGGATAAGTCTCATGTTTAATATAAAACTTAGTCGTCATTGAGTACTATGATCTAGAATTATTTTTTGTTTTCGTTAAAACGGGGATAATTAGTGGCAAGTGATGACTATCCACCTTTCAGGCCTGGAGTGATTTAGATTTGATTCTCATAAAAGACAAATTTAAACTACATTATTGCTAATCCATTGTGAGAGACCCACTCTTAGCGTAGATAATATCGTTTTCTCAACAAAACAATAAAATATATATATATATAACTTAGTCATATCAAACTCAGCTACAAGTTTTAGAGGAATTAGGATCATCTTCAAATTATTGTACATCGTACGATCAGAAATCATTTAAATACTTTTATTTAAAATTAAATATGAATAATATTTAACGAAAACTGGCTGCATAATGTACGATAAATAAACACGATTTAAGAATCTATAGGATCCTCATTTGTTTTAGAGCATCTCGATAGCAAAAATTTTCTTTAATAATGTCATTTGCTAACTCATTCAACATTTTTATGCTACTTTAAAATTTGTCACTCTAACTCACTCTTCAACTAACTCTTCAAGTTTCACTCTTCACCTTAAAATATTAATATTTTAAAGTTTATCTTAGCTTGTGAAGCCTAAATGTTATTTTCAAACTCTTTACTAAATAATTTTTTTAAATAAAATATAGCAAGACCTAATTTACTAACTTGAAGTAGCAATTAATCTTGTATACAACTACATTTCAATTTCAAGGGCAGAGCTAGGATTTTTTTTTTGGGTGGGCTAGCTAAAATTAGTGTCCTAAGATCATATGTGTATTTTTTCTTATATAAAATTATATAATCTTAACTAAATATTAATAGAACATTATTGTCAACCAAAATCTTATGAAATTATCATTCAAACTATGTAATTAAAATTGAATATAAATAAGAAATATGGGCAGTAATGTAATTTCATACAACTGAAAAGAAAAAAAATCAAAACCTCACCTACATATATCAAATAAAAAATAAAGCTCTGTACCTTTTCTCCCCACTCTCACGTTTATCTCTCACACTCTCTCTCTCTCTCTCTCTCTCTCTCTCTCTGCTTCCATTTAAAAAATAAAAAATAAAAAAATTTCATACACATTTTATGAGTGCCCATATGCTTGTAATCAATATAAAAGAAGAACAATACAATATAAACAATTCTTGAAATCATAACCTTAACCGACAACTTCAAGGGAAGAGGATCCTCTCTAGATCCACTTTGTGGGGATCCTAGGAATCCCCACATCCTAGCCATTCATTGTGACAACCCGTTCCAAATTTTACATTTTTAATTTATTTTAAAAGCGTGAGTTTACGAAATTGCCCTAGAGGCACGGACTTTGACTTCTGTTGACCATTGACTTGAGAGATGTGGGACTTATTCTTTTAGCATATCCTCGTAGTACTCATTGGTACGAACGTATAGGCGAAAACCGTTTGCGAGTCCGAATTATAACGGTATAGTTACGGACGTTCGAAATTGGTTATTCAAGGTGAGTGTTTATTTAAATTAATGGAAGCCCAATCAGAAAGAAGAAAGAAAAGAAAAAAAAAAAAAAAAAAGGGAAAAAGGCTTCCCGTGCACCATACCCGCACCACCGCGAGGCCATATTCCAAGGCCGATTCCGGCCAACTCCGGTGGAGTTTTTCGATGCCACCACCACCATTTTGAAGCTCTCATTCCCCTCTACAAAACCCACCCAAGAACCACCTTGATTGACCACGGGATGTGGAGGTTTGAGGCCACGAAAGTTGACGAAAATCAATGGTGCTCCGGCCACCCTTCTCCATTTTCCGGCAAATCGGCAAAGCGATGGCCGATGCCACCACTTGGGCTTTGTAGCCCATCATCCCAGGAGCAAAACCCAACCAACCTTGACCCCGTTGGACCACCGTAGACGACGAATCGACGTCGGGAAGTTTTAGGCACCCGCCGGCTTCGTGGGCAAAATTGACCATCTTCCGTCCACTTTTGGACTTCGTGGCAGGTATGAAAGTTGCTCCACTCACTGAGATCTTCATTTCTGTGAAGTTTGATAATTTTTGGAATTAGTTGGATTTTCCGGCGAGTCGGGGCGGCCGACCGCCACCCGCGGCGGCGCGTGCGGCGGCGCGTGGCCGGTGAGCCGCCAATGCTATTTTTAGGCTATGTCGAATGTTTTGAATTTAGTTTTGTCATTTGAATGACGTAGGTTGATCGTTGGAACCTAAATTCGTTATAAAACGCTACTTGATAAAAATGTGAATCGATGATCCGACCGTTGGATCGTCACCAAAATTGGATACATTATAATACGTAATATTTAAAGATCATAGGAATTTACGGATCGGGAATCCGACTTACGGATCTTCCTGAATTGGATTTGTAAGTTAGTAAAATAAATGTTCACGGCCACTTGTTTTAGGCAATTGGCGAAGATCTGACCGTTGGATCGTAATGAAATTTTAAGATGTTATTCTAGAAACATATTGTGGATCATTGGAAGTTGCAGATTGGAAATCTGATATGCGGATCTTCCGGGTCAGGTTATACAGGGTTGTAAACCCTACCGTCGATCTTTGATCGACGGTTGACTTGTGGTCAATAGGTCTCAACCTATTTTAGAAAGTCGTCGAGGTTGTGTTTTATGTGAATTGCATATTCTTCAGATAAGAGTTCTGAGATGTGATTTGATAATTGGCCACAGGGACCGATCATTCAGGACGCCTCGATGCGCGTGCTAGAGTAGTATAGCGTGGACTCCAGGTGAGTGGATCTTTTCCTTTTTATTGTGCATATTATTGAGAGTTCTATCGACACCTTTAAATTGATTAGGCATATTACTTTCATATATAATTATTGTGAATGCTTGACGTACAATGTGAACTACGGATGGCTTGATCCCTGTTTAGGGTACGTAGGCAGTCTAACGAGACGTTAGATGCAGCCATAAAATATTTGAGACAAAAGCCTTGCTTGGGAAATTGAGTAATGCGAAGGAAATTGGTAAAGACAAGTTTTAGTTTTGTGAATTAGTTAGTTAAATTAGAGTTAATTGGATTGTTATGGATAAGTATCCCTGAAAATAAGTAGTTTGGGAGTATGGCGTTATTGATTGTACACTTCACACCATATTGTTTATAATTGAAAATGCTACGATATGGTTGAGTAGTAGATTGCATCATGATATATCCATATGTATATTACTTGCTTATAATTATTGGGAATGCTTTCAAGTGCAAAGGTGAACTCAGGACACCCAGGTAAGTTCAGGTGAGTTTATGGTATTAATTGAATCGATTGAGTTATAGCATGACTACAGTTATGAGTTAGGCAACTTCGATACTGTCGTACTGGTTGCCATGTGCTGCACATGATTGATGAGATATGGATAAGTCGTATAGGTCACTATAGGTGACTCCGACTTATATGCTAGCCATGATTGATGAGATATGGATAAGTCGTACAGGTCACTATAGGTGACTCCGACTTATATGCTAGCCAGGATTGATGAGATATGGATAAGTCGTATAGGTCACTATAGGTGACTCCGACTTATATGCTAGCCAGGATTGATGAGATATGGATAAGTCGTATAGGTCACTATAGGTGACTCCGACTTATATGCTAGCCATGATTGATGAGATGTGGATAAGTCGTACAGGTCACTATAGGTGACTCCGACTTACATGCTAGCCAAGATTGACGAGATGTGGATAAGTCGTACAGGTCACTATAGGTGACTCCGACTTATATGCTAGCCAGGATTGATGAGATATGGATAAGTCGTATAGGTCACTATAGGTGACTCCGACTTATATGCTAGCCATGATTGATGAGATGTGGATAAGTCGTACAGGTCACTATAGGTGACTCCGACTTACATGCTAGCCAAAATTGACGAGATGTGGATAAGTCGTACAGGTCACTATAGGTGACTCCGACTTATATGCTAGCCAGGATTGACGAGATGTGGATAAGTCGTACAGGTCACTATAGGTGACTCCGACTTATATGCTAGCCATGATTGATGAGATGTGGATAAGTCGTACAGGTCACTATAGGTGACTCCGACTTACATGCTAGCCAAAATTGACGAGATGTGGATAAGTCGTACAGGTCACTATAGGTGACTCCGACTTATATGCTAGCCAGGATTGACGAGATGTGGATAAGTCGTACAGGTCACTATAGGCGACTCCGACTTATATACTAGCCATGATTGATGAGATACAGATAAGTTGTACATGTCATTTTAGCTGACTCTGATTGATATATCATTTTGTATTGATTTAGTTCATTTGGCCTACTTATTGATGTATGGTGGAGTTGATGGCGAACCGTGGTTTTGGTCATTTCCGAGTATGGTTTGGATATATGTATATATGTTGTACTGTCTTACGGAAAACGATACGGGTTGTACATTTAGGGGCATTACTTTTAGAGAGGTAGTAACTTTGGGAAGCTTGGTTTTATTGCTTACTCACACCTTCTCTTTGGTGCCCTCCAGGTTTTAGCTGCTGAGTTTGTATCGACAAAAATCTGTGGCGAATCTTAGTATTGATGGATATTTTTGAGGGTATGATTCTTACTCACATTACTGTACCTTACTTATGCTCTGACATCGCGCGTGAAATGGGTTCGCTCCCACTCGTAGCGCACTCTGGTATTTAGACACTTTTAGTTTCAAATTTAATCACTTTTTATGCACTATCACATTTTATGGCTTCGTCACCTTCCAGGTGTCGGCCAGCACAGCTCGATTCAGGGTCCAAGTGGACTTTCTGGGTTGGGGTGTGTCATTCATCGTACATCGTGTGGCCAATTTTTGTCAAGTATTATTTATGTTTAATTTTAAATAAAAAAAAGTCTAATGATTTCTAATAGCACGATAAATGACTAAGATGCGAGGATTTCTAGGATCCCCACAATTTGGATCCGAGTGGGATCCAAATCCAACTTCAAAGACCATATAAAGAATTAACCTACTAAATAAATCAAGAATAAGTAAATAAAGCAATTAAGAACGTACCGAAGGTTATATTCATTGGAAAATCGTAAGGAAACGTAAATAATTGCAGAGATAGGAATTTAATTGTAAACTAAATTCTTGAGTAAGAAGTACAAAGTCTAAATCGCATAGGGTAAATGGTAATTTTCTTCAATGAACAGGATAGAAGGGGGAGGGGTGATTCTAATTTATTATTTTTAGCGTAAAAAAATATTATTTATTACCTCCTATACTAAATATACATGAAATAATAATATGAATTGGAATTGGGTGGGCTATATAGGCTACATCATTAACATAAGCCATTAAAGCATGAGTTTATAAAAAGAGTAGTGCTATTCACACACCCTTATTAATTTTTTGACATTTATCTTCATCAATTCATTCCATGTGAAGGTTGAAAACTAAGAGGGATGTGTGAGAAATAGAAATGGGTGTGTAGAGAGCACTGCACTTACAAAAAACCTCATTGGGCTACAGTCTACCTTACCCTTGTGGGTGGCTCTGCTCGTGATCAATTTGCTAATTGGGTTGCTACTTTCGTTTGAGTTGCATTTTTACTACATGGCATAGTAAATCTAATTGAGTTTAAAGAAATTGACGAACACTTCATTCTATAAAAAAAATTGAAATTTCATCGTAATAATTAAGTAGGCAAACGATTTTGGATTTAATTTAATTTCTTCAAGAATGATCTATGAATCGAGACTTACAAAGTAGATGGTTCAGATCGTTGAATTTCAATGTGGAATGAATCCTACAACTAATCCCCATTTAAAAAAAAAAAAAAAAAAAGAAACTCCTTCCCTTAAAGCGCACATATCAAATAGACAAATACATAAAATTCAATAGTTAATAAAAGCACTTTTCTATTTATACTTTATTTTAATAATAAAGTTTAAATATTAACTAACATGTAGTGATGCCCATGCTCACATTAGGAATAAAAAGTAAAATAATTAATTCCAACTTGTAGAACCCACCCATCCAAACCCACGTAGTTTGGGTGGGTTGGTTTGCCCATTTTCTTTGGGGTGGCAATGGGTTCTAACATTGCCAACCTGAGGCTATTAGGTTGGCCAATGACTTGAAGCCTAACTCAAAATCCACCCGAAGCCTACTCCTAATCCAAAAATGGGTCAATCATAACTATTTGGTTCGAACTCGTTGGCTATGGTACTAAGTGTCTTAACGCAAATAGTTATTGAATTTACATCTTAGGTTTGATTCGCCTCACTAAAAGAATAAGGCTATTTATGATTTAAATCCATCTCAAGTCGGGTAAAATGATGTAAAATAATAATTTTGGGTGAAAAATGTAAGTATTTATATGAATTTGCATCTTCTTTTTCATCTCATAAGAGAAAAGGAAAGCAATAAAATGGAAGAGGTGGGTCAAACCACATTTACATATCTCCAAAACACAAGGGCTTGTACTTAAAATGTTACTCCCAACAGAGATGCTGCTCCAGCAACCACCTATATATCATTCAGCAAACTCAACTCTTAATTTAGGAAAATCAAACAGTTTGTGCCTCAACGATGAACCCCGCCTCCCACCAGCAACCACAGCTAGTTGCTTGAGAGCGACACGAGTCTTTGTCTCTCAGTGGCTTCTAGGTACCAACTATCGCTTAGTCTAATGGTGCTTCTTTGATTTCTGTTAGTTTGTGTAATGAGACATCCATGTGCGGATTTGTCCTTCTATTAAGGGTTGAAAAGAAAAGCAGCAACACCAAAGTGTGGAGAATTTGGACTTAACTCATCTTAAACAATCAAACTGACATGGATTTGATCAGCATAATATTCTAAAATCTCACGAAACAATTTAAAGAAAGACAATTTAATATTTTTTTGCAAAAAATATGAAGAAAAAATTGAATTAATTGACATATTCAATGCAAGTGCTTACATCATGGATCTTTTATGTTGCTCCTGTGTTCAGAAAAGATCAACAACTACAAAGAAAAAATATATAAAAGAAGAGAGGCATCTGTTCTCTTACTCTTCCTCAATGTCAAGGCCTGGTACGTATTCCAAGCTCACATCGAAAACAACCGGACTGCTTGGAGCCACCCTTGGTCTTCCCGGAGCTGAATTGAGACCCTTGGGAAATGCCAACTAATCAAAAGCAGAGTAAAGGCACAAAGATTAGAACTGCCATCCTATGATTTCTTAGAAAGCCAAGTAAAAGCCTTACCGATCCTGGGATGTAGAGTCGTCGCTTCCCTCCTACTTTCATGGACAAGATCCCTTCATCAAGTCCCTTGATCACCTGTTCTACTTTGAATTACAAATATTAGCAAACATCCTTTTCCCCCACGAAAGTTGTTCCGCTTTGGAATTCCTATAATGAATTGAAAATGTGATAAAGCACTTCAAATGATGCAGTAAGAACCATTGAGACATCACTTTAGTCATGCACATCACATGGCTTTCATTCTTTAGGGTTTCTTCTTTTTATTAATTTTTTGCTTGCGTGATTGTATGATAACATGCTATCCCCAGAACAACTTCAATACCTCTTATTCCATTGATTACTGGGAAACCAAATAAGTCGTATTTGGGGCGTGTTAATTGTTTCAAGAAGAAGAATCAATGTTAAGTAGACTGAATTTGAAATCTACGCACAAACAGACCACAATATCATAAATCCAAATTACTCTTCTCAAGTGACGAGGTGGGGTGATGGAAACAAAATATCATGAATAAACATATATGCTTGGAGACATTTGTAGAGCTTACCTGACCAGAGCCAACACGAAATATATAAACTTGACCCTTCTCCAATGAACTGTACAAATGAAGAAAGAGTAAAAGAGTAAGAAACTGAGTCTAGTCCTACCCGCCATCAAAACTTGTCAAGTACAAGACATGTTCCACAGAAAAAAAGATAAAAATGTACGACGGCTCCACAAATTAAGCCCGGCGCAGCTAACCTTTAGAAAATAACAAGACTGTACAGTTATACATTACCAATATGAATTTTACTCTCTCAGATACCTTATTGTTGGATAATAGTAGCCTTTTATAAATATCATTAAGCAGCATGCAAAAGTTATGCACTGTGGTTTTGCACTAGTTAGTCTACACACGATACAACCAGTAATCAGCTCCCTGAAACCCTGAACCCTAAGTCCACTGTGATTTGATCCGAAGGAGAAGACCCACATTTTGTCTTTTTTCCCAATGGTGCACAAGTAGAGATTGAAAATGTGGATCATTTGTTTCTTCACTATCCAATAGCATTATACTGGTGGTCGAGTCTGTTCAGGGAAATTGATTGAGTTGGGTAAACCCAACTACATGCATAACCCTTTTTTGTGAGAAGCACAATACGTTTAGTGATGGTAAGAAGGCAAAAGGCATTATGGAGTAGGAGTCTGTATAAACTCGGATGTGGGGGATATGGGCTGGAGGTTTCATGGGACAAACTCAGAATTTGGTGTTCAAAATTTTCAAACAAAAAAATAAATAGAGGATTAGGTGAGAGTATCTCCTCATTACTGGTCAAAGGCACAAACTGCCACTCTCAAACCTGAAGGAGAGGACGATAATGACAAATAGAAACGAGGGCTCCAACGTTCTCTTTGTTGATTCAGAAATTCAGATCTTTAGAGGGACAACTTGTCTGCAGTGGTTGTACTATATTTTATTTTTCATAAACTTATGTTTCTTACCAAAAGATCATCTGATCTACATTAAGCCATTTCATTTCTATTTTCCACTTCTATCAAGATATAACAATATGCTTACCTGTCAAATATTTGTCCAGATGGAACCATGGCTACATAATTCGCTGCTACCTGTTAATACAGAAATTATGCAAACAGCGCCAATGTAATAAGAGTCAGAAACACAAAAAACAAATGCCCATAAATCAACGGGTAGATTTAAGTATGCACAATCCTATCTGCTATGGCTTCAGAAGAAATAACCACATGTGACTCTATAAAGGACTGTAAGAAGTCTATCGGTAAGAAAGGGGGAATCACAAAAGAGCCGAGATGAGGGGGCCAGAGACAATATCAGATAAGAAAAATTCATTCAATTTTTTTTTTTAATAATCAAGCGCGTGTTCATAACACAAACCAAGTATGAGAATCAATCAATCAATCAATCAACATACTCAAGAAACCCACAAACAATAAACGCTTTCAGAAAATCCCCTTTTTTTTCTAGATTGCAGTGAAATCTAGTTCTCACAAGCCAGGATGATTTAAATCTTACACACCTGAAAACCGACTGGTGGACTGGGGCCTTGACCAACTTTAATATCCTTGTACTGCAAACCAGACTCTGTAGTTACCATAGGCACCTTCAACAAAATGACAATTTCAAACATCATTTACCAGTACAATTGATAGATCATATCAACAAAAGGCATTTGCCACTGACAGACACCCACTGAACTCCCAAAAGAAAAGAATCGGTATGACCACTTTAATAAAAAACAATCCAGTCCTTACCAAATGAAGGCCACAGTGTGTATTCATATGAGCTGTTATAAAGTTGTGCAAGTATTTCTCAAGCTTAAGATGGCTTCTGCGGGAAGCGTTGTGAAGACCTCACTTCTACTCAATTTTCTTTAACTTGGTGACATGGTTGATTGTTTTAGGGTGTAGAATCATAATTTAGAACTTAGATTTATAACCTTGGATTGGTTAATAAATTAGAGATAACCCCTATCTATTTTGAACCTAAACGTTAATGCCGGGAAAATATCATTTAAAGCTGATTCTAAAAGACCTAAGTAGAACTTTTTCTTTGGGTGAGCTACAGAAAAAAAACTTCCCCCTAAAACATAACTTCGTTCATTCCAGTTTGAGCTAATTTTTACTTAAGAGTTTAATCACGATATTATTTCCTAAACTTTATATTATTTTCAAGGACTTAAGAGAAAATATCGAGAGATCAGTAAAATCCAAGTTTTACAGCCTGCTAGAGTTTTGAAGTGAATAATTAACAACTGAACTCCCATAGCATATAGAATGCAGCCAAGGGATCAATTCAACCTCACCATACATTTTCAAGCTCCTTCTCGCAAGAATTATCACACAGTCGAGGCTTCTCTTCTGGGGGCAGACCAGCTCCCTCAGCTTCAAATGCGCCTGTCACAGCGCTTGAAACTCCGAAAAGCAACCCAATCATATCTCTTCTTTTGATTACATTAAACTCATCCTTACATACTCTTGACCTTGTAGCATTTATAGTAACTTGTGAATTAGAACATCGGATAAGCATCCCTTGAACTTTGTTGCAGGAAACGCCTTGGTAATCTGCGGACATCCCTTTTCCAGAAGATGAACCTAACTTGTAGGAAAAGCAACAGAACTAATACTGTGATATTGCATTTCGGTAGAACTTAAAAAACAGAAACAGCATATCTAAAGCCACGACACACACACACATGAGCAAGCACAAAGCTTCTTGGATTGGATCACACGCCGTTTAAAACACCATTTTGATGTATCAATTTTTAGGCCTCGTTTGCTCTCGAGGATTGAACTGGAATGGATAATTCACTACATTCTCGATTGGTCTCAACATTTTCGTCTCTCCCTCCAAACAGAGGGGCAAATGTTACAGTTATGAATTTAGGGTTTGTATTAGAACGAAACAGAAGATCGTTTTCAAAAGTTTGAAATGAATCGCACTGAGATTGATAAGAACTACGAAGATGTTAAAGTAATGCATGGATTGTAAATAAATAAATGAATAAGAAAAATGAAGAACAAAAGTGATTACCAAATGGAAAGAGCAGAGTGGAGGAAGACGAAGCCATGCTGGAAGTGAAGAGTTTGTAACGTCCACAAACGGATAACGAAATCTTGGTGTTTGTATATATATGGTCAGTCCAGCAACTGAGCGCAGATCTGCTGTGCCAAGGTTTCCTCTGCCCACCCTCTGCCTGCATTTCACACCAACTTAACTCCGTTAACTCTATAAAAAAATAAAAATAAATAAAAAACTTAGAAAAAGACACTACAACCGGACAACACCAAAGCTCCCCAGCCTACCTCCGCCGCCGACAACCGCTCATCTACGCCGCCAGTTAAACCTCATCTTGCGCTCTCTCTCCCTCTTTCAAAATCTTCAGGGAACTTGATCGACAAAATGGGATGGGAGCCCGTTCACTGTTTTGGGCTTTTCATTTTCTTTTAAATGAAGGGACAGTTGTCAATATCAAATTGCAGGCGGAGGGTGGGCAGAGGAAATCTTGCCACACCAGATCTGAACTCCCAGCGACTCCCTTTGTGCGGCTCTCTGATGACCACATCAGATTACTGATTTTTTTTAAGTCAGTACTTAAAATTCCTTTAATACAATCGATTAATTGGTGAAAGTACATAAAAAAAAATGATAAAGTACAAAAAATTACCTCAATTATTAATGTCACAATACTTTTATACGTCATCTTTTTAAAATGACAATGTCATACCTCTATTAATTTTTCTGTTAAATACTGACATGGCTAGATACTAGGGACACTCACTAATCCAATTAGATTAAAATATAATTAAATATATTTTTTAATAATTAAAATTTAAAAAATTTAAAAAAAAATTATATATATAAAATTGTGGATCCACCTTCTTTCTCCTGTCTCTCTCACCTCTCTTCTCTCTCTGGACACCCACCTGCATCCCCAAAACCTTCCCACCCATTCCCCCCAACCTTCATCCCCCTCACCCTTTCTTCCCCTTGCCCCCATCTTCTCTGCGCAACCTCTCCCTCCAAAAACTCTCCCATCTAGAGCCCATCAACCTCTCCGTATCCCACCTCTGCTTCACCACTCTCCCGCCCCGCCGTCCCTTCCTCTCAATCACCTGCCTCGCCGTCAACCACAACCTCTTCTACGCCGCATTGGGCCACGAGAAATGCCTCTGGATCTCCGCTGTGTCGAGCCTGAAGATTTGGCAGAACTCAGATCTCCGTTGCGTCGAGTCGGTCAAGGCGCATGAGGACGCTGTGAATGCGTTGGCAATGTTGAACAATGAGACATTGTACACAGGGTTAACGGATTGTCAGATCTAGGTGTGGTCCAAACCATTCGGGGAAGACGGAGAAGACGGGAGCGTGGGATCTAGGTTGGGTGGTTCTAGTTTTGAGTTTGGGGCGGGGTGGGATATGAGTTAGGTGGTTCTGGTTTTGAGTTTGGGGAAGACGAGGAGCGAGGGGAAGAAGGGGTGAGGGGGATGAAGGTTGGGGGGGACGGGTGGGAAGGGTTTGAGGGATGTAGATGGGTGTCCAGAGAGAGAAAAGAGAGGCGAAAGAGAGGGGGTGGTGAAGGAAGGTTGGGGGGACGAGTGAAAGGGGTCGAGGGGGTCGAGTGGGAAGGGGTTTTGGGGATGGAGAGAAGAGAGAGAGGCGAGAGAGATGGGGGAGAGAGAGAAAAGAAAGAGATTTACTATAATCTTTTTTTTAATTTTTAATTATTAAAATATATATTTATTATATTTTAATCCAGTTGGATTAGTGAGTGATCCCCGTATCTAGCCACGTCAACACTTAACAGAAAAATTGACGGAGGTATGACATTAACACAAATTCGTAAGATAAGGTATGACATTGTCATTTTAAAAAGATGAGGTATGAAAGTGTCGTGACACCAATAATTGAGGTAGTTTTTTGTACTTTACCCTTAAAAAAAAAAGGAAAACTAACCAAAAACCCCAAAAAACTTTCTTTTTCAACATCAGGACATGAATTTTCAAAAATGCCGATCCCACCTTTCAAACATCCATACAAGATTGCGTCAATACTCAACAAAGTTCACATGACTTCACTAAAGAATATATCAAAAAGGAAGAGAAAAGAGGACTGACATTTTCATATTACATTGGAATACAAAAAACAAGGTGGCAAACATTGTAGCAGCCAAGGCAACATGGATTCACATGCATAAAGACATGTCAGCCAGCTTTCAGAAATAGTGCTGACAGCTTTCAGAAACAATGTGTTGTCACTTTTCAAAAAGTTGTAAATAGTTGAAACGTATTCTATCTTAGGATTTGTATATAAAAGAGTTTTTCCTCCCATGCAGAACATACATTCTCTCAACATCTGAAAACATATCTCAACCTCGCAAACACTTAAACACCCTACTCTCGTACCATCTTCATATTTAGCCTTCATGACATTATTGTAAACGCTTTCTTGTAAACAATTATCTTTGTAAACATTCTATATATTAATAAAAGTTCAAGTGTGCATATTCAAGCAATCTACAAGTCTTAAGTAAGTTTTCTTTTCTTTCTTTAGTGTGTTTGTTTAATTAGATTTCTAGTCCAAAACATGGAAACATTATTGTAGTTATTTAACCTGCTAAACTGACGATCATAATTTGTTCGAGCACTCTGTTATAGTTGAATGCTTGCCATACAAATAATTGGACATTAACCAAGGTACCTCTGAGTTCTTCGTACCTCTGAGTTCATATTTGTATTGTGAGTGGCCGTCATACTGAAACATGTCGAGTTCCATGTGCAAGGTTTTATGTCTAATTGTTCTAATGGTCATCCGACTATTAAACTGGGTGTTGATGTGCGATTGTGGTATCAGAGTCAAGTTTAGCATTTTAATAGTTTAATTATAATAGTAAAGTACCTTGAGGATGGAAGTCATTAATACAACTGATATCACACTTGTTCATTTTGTATGAACAACATATATTATTGTCTTTGTAGACCTTGTCAACCACAACCACCAGGTTTTTATTGTCCTAAACGCCCAACTATAACTAGCATAAAGAGAAGATTAGCATACATATCCAAAAGAATTAGCACGACTTTGAAGAAGCAAAAATTTTATTTTGGTTATCTTGAACATCCTTCATTTATTAGTAAATATAATAACACTGAAGTGCATCATAAAGTTTTAGAAGCGAAATGAGCAACTAATCAAGTTTTAGAGACATTAAGAGAAAAAAGAGAGTTTCTAAGGAACCAGTTAGCCGTAACTTTAGAGAAAGGTAGACTGTAGTTTATGATAAAATACCTTAATTTAGAAATTAGTGAACCTCAAAAAAGAAAAATAACCTTAAACCAAAATAGTTTATTTTGTTATTTTCCATTAAGAAAGCATAATCATATTTTGCATAGTGAAAAAAATTCACAAGCTAATAATATTGTAGATCTTATTATTAGTCAAGCAGAAAATATAAAATTAGAAAATAATAAGCATGATCATTTATTAAACCAGTTGTTAGAACATTTTTCAGAAAAATTCCACAAAAACAATTAGACAAAATTTAGATTATATTATATCTTAGTTAGAAGATAATAATAAAAATATTCAAAAATTTCCTAGCAAAAGAGAGATAAAAGAGCTTATTGATCTCATAAATAGTAAGCCTAAGCAAGTAGAACTTACATCATTAGAAATAGTAGAGCAGTTAAAATTAGAAGTTCAAAAAATTCAACTAGTGCAAAAAGATTTGAGTGAACAAGTAGATAAGTTGCGTAGTAAAATAGATAAATTATTAGTTTAATGACCGATTCTAGAACTAGCAGAAGATATATTCAAATTTTAAAAGAAACTAGTAAGTTAGATAAGGAGCCAGTAGGTTTAACAGTTTTTTCAACACAAATAGTTAGTAGTAATATTTCCGTTAGGCAAAATAATTTAATTATTCAATTAGTTTTAAGTTTGGCTGAAAAATTAGATCAAGTTGAAGAACAAATAATATAAATAATCCAAGTTTTACATAACGCATCTTCATCACTTCCACTATCTTTGTTAGAAAAATTAGAAATTTTAACTTTAAGTGCAAATAATCATATTAGAAGACATAAGATAAATCATTTTGATAATAGAAAATGCAACTCTTTAAGAGAAAATGAAAAAAAGTAGTTAGAGCTGAAGATATTTATTCAAATGAAGAAGAAGCACAATAATTTATTCGAAGAGGTTTTGAGATAACACAGAAAAATAAATATAATTTGTACCAATTAGGTTTATTTGAAAATAAAAGCAGAATTGTAAGTAGCATCAGTCAACATGAAGTTAGTTGTATTGATAAAGAAGTTACATTTAATTTAATTAGTAAAGAAGCAATTACTCATTTGAGAAAGTCACAATTTAGTTAAATTCATATATGAACAATATTAATTGGAATATCAAGATTAACTAGAGCACAAGTAGGCACAAAAACATTAGTATTATGTATTAGCTTAATTTATTTTGGTAAAGTGTCTGATAGATATAATCACAAGTTTAATTTAGAATTTCAAATTTTAGTTCAAACATTTGGTAGTAAACATGTAAATATGATAGAAGCAAAACCCGTAAATAATAGCTTTTTAGAATGAACTTAGTCGATATTACCTAATTTACAAGTAGCAAGAAATAGACGATAAGATAAAGTACAAAAATATGAAACTAGTACAGGTCAAGCAACAATTAAGTTTATTAATTACAAGCAACTAGAAAAAATAAAAAAGGATGAAAGGGAGATTGAAAATGAGAATATTCATATAACTTTTGATAATTTAGATATTAATTTAGTTGAGCAAAATTTTGATCATATTGTAGATAATATATTAATCCTTTAGATGAAGAACAATATTTAGAAAATATAAGACATATGATTTAGGACTACACATAATTTCAAATGAAGAGATGAAAAAATTAATTTTAGAAATAGGAGTGGAACATATATTATGATCAAAAGAATATAATAATTTATTAGAATTGGAAGAAGGATGTAATCCAACAGAAGAAAGTAGTACATCAGGAGTAAAAAATCCAAGACAAGCAAGTAGAACTGATCAACAATTTTTTAGATCAATAAATGAACACTATAATGAAGAAGCACAAGTAGACCACATAGAAGAAAGCATGATAAAACCTAAAAAAAATAGAATTTTCATATTTGAGAGGGTTAGAACAAATTAATATACCAGGAAATATATTAAACTTAGATAATGTAGATCTACAAGATTGGGAGAGAACAATTGAGAGATGAGAAAAAGGTTGCATACATGCAACATTAATGTTAGATTTTAGTAATTCACAAAATATGTTAGATTATTTTGAACATACTTTACATGGTTTAGTTTTTGATTATTTTCATTTATAGAAATTCAAAATCCAGAACAGTGTCACATCCCCGCCTGGGGGGATCACTTCCCGGGCTCGCTCCACCACCGTAGCACGATATT